CTTGGACTGTTGTTGTTCCTTTACTGATGCGATTCACCCTCCCACCTTATCAAGACATCGGGGCACTACGAAACACGAGCCAATGACTCTAACTGGGAAAAAGAAACATAATCATGTCATCAATTTGTTATTTTAATAATGCTGTATTGATGAGGAAATGTGAAGATGTGATAATTAATTACTGTTTTATAGTGGCCATGTTGGAAGCCCAGAGGGGTACTGTCTGGTCATGTCTACACTTGACACTTACATGCGACTTCGAAGCTCTTATTGAACAGACGTGTCTAGACTAACAAAAGTCACTTTGTGGTCTGACTGTGTTCAGATCTGGCTGACCACTTCAGGATTTTGTGCAGATTTCTCCTCAGTCTGGACGTAATTAGGCTACCGAAATGCATACAGTGGTCGGCGTCATCAGCACTCCTCCCACAAGTCTCCAGAAAACGTGTGTTTTGGGACCAAGAGGTACCTTTTCATTATAACATTAGAGGAAATACGTTTCTAGCGTGTGAGGAACGTGTTTGCTGGCCTCATAAATGCTAGCCAGCTAGCTAATATTTAGAAAAATGATTGTTATTATGCTAACTCGTTTGCAATCCCTTTAGCGTTGCTTGCCAGCTAGCTACAGTAGTCAGCTACAGCCATCAGTTGTGTTATCAAATTTAGCCTATTCCACCGTTTGTGGTGCCTATTTAGCCCATTCCACCGTTTGTTGCATGGCATTTGAAAATAGCGTGGGAATGGACACATTTAAATGTAGACGCGTGACGTGTTCTTAACTCCATTAGCAGAATACAAACGCTGCATGAACTGTAAAGTCCCAGACACAGCCTCTGTCTTCTAGCGGCCATGTTGGAAAGCCAGAGGGGTAATAGAGAGTGTGAGGTATTTGAATCGTTCCTTATTACGTGTGTGTTACTAAACATAGACAGATATGACGAACAGTAGCTTAGTAATATTTGATCTTTATTTACAGTAGATGTAAACATTCAACTCTTGATATGACTGCAATGTAGTTAGCGTTGCACATTTCTGGAAAATTCCCAAAATTCCAGAATTCCTGGTTGGAGGATTCCCAGATTTCCTGTCTGTTCCTTCATCATTTCAGGAATCTTCCAACCATAAATGTAGTAAAAGGCATGTTTCACATTTGTATAAAAGACAATCTTGGCAGTTTGACATGTGGTGAACGCTGAGGGGGAAGATAACGTGGTGAACGCTGAGGGGGAAGATAACGTGGTGAATGCTGAGGGGGAAGATAACGTGGTGAACGCTGAGGGGGAAGATAACGTGGTGAATGCTGAGGGGGAAGATAACATGGTGAATGCTGAGGGGGAAGATAACATGGTGTACGCTGAGGGGGAAGATAACGTGGTGAACGCTGAGGGGGAAGATAACATGTGGTGAATGCTGAGGGGGAAGATAACATGGTGAATGCTGAGGGGGAAGATAACGTGGTGAATGCTGAGGGGGAAGATAACGTGGTGAATGCTGAGGGGGAAGATAACGTGGTGAATGCTGAGGGGGGAAGATAACGTGGTGAATGCTGAGGGGGGAAGATAACGTGGTGAATGCTGAGGGGGAAGATAACGTGGTGAATGCTGAGGGGGAAGATAACGTGTTGAACACTGAGGGGGAAGATAACGTGTTGAACACTGAGGGGGAAGATAACGTGGTGAATGCTGAGGGGGAAGATAACATGTGGTGAATGCTGAGGGGGAAGATAACGTGGTGATGCTGAGGGGGGAAGATAACGTGTTGAACATGAGGGGGAAGATAACGTGGTGAACGCTGAGGGGGAAAGATAACTTGTTGAACGCTGAGGGGGAAGATAACGTGGGAACACTGAGGGGGAAGATAACGTGGTGAATGCTGAGGGGAAGATAACGTGGTGAATGCTTGAGGGGGAAGATAACGTGGTGAATGCTGAGGGGGAAGATACGTGGTGACGCTGAGGGGGAGATAACGTGTTGAACACTGAGGGGAAGATAACGTGGGTGAATGCTGAGGGGGAGGGAGGAAGATAACGTGTTGAACCTTGAGGGGGAAATAACGTGGTGAACCTGAGGGGAAGATAACGTGTTGAACGCTGAGGGGAAGATAACGTGGTTGAACCTGGGGTGAAGATAACGGTTTGAACCTGAGGGGTAAGATACGTGGTGAATGCTAGGGGAAGATACCTGTGGTGAATGCTAGGGAATACTGGTGAACTGAGGGGAGATAACGTGTTAACTGCTAGGTGGAATAAGTACCAGGGACTAACGGTTTGAAACCCTAGGGCTGAAATAACCTGTGAAACTGGTTAACCCTGGTAGACTGTATACCTGGTAAGACCTGGTTTACCCTGGCTAGACCTGGTTTAACCCTGGCTAGACCTGGTTATACCCGGCTAGACCTGGTTATCCTGGTTATACCTGGTATACCTGGTTAACCTGGTTATACCCTGGTTATACCTGGCTAACCTGGTTATACCTGGCTAGACCTGGTTATACCCTGGCTAGACCTGGTTATACCCTGGTTATACCCTGGCTAGACCTGGTTATACCTGAGATTATACCCTGGCTAGACCTGGTTATACCCTGGTTATACCCTGGCTAGACCTGGTTATACCCTGGCTAGACCTGGTTATACCCTGGTTATACCCTGGCTAGACCTGGTTATACCTGGTTATACCCTGGTTATACCCTGGCTAGACCTGGTTATACCCTGGCTAGACCTGGTTATACCCTGGCTAGACCTGGTTATACCCTGGTTATACCCTGGCTAGACCTGGTTATACCCTGGCTAGACCTGGTTATACCCTGGCTATACCTGGTTATACCCTGGCTAGACCTGGTTATACCCTGGCTAGACCTGGTTAACCTGTTATACCCTGGCTAGACCTGGTTATACCTGGTCTATACCTGGTTATACCCTGGCTAGACCTGGTTATACCCTGGCTAGACCTGGTTATACCCTGGCTAACCTGGATATGCCCTGGCTATACCTGGTTATACCCTGGCTAGACCTGGTTATATACCCTGGCTAACCTGGTTATACCCTGGCTAGACCTGGTTATACCCTGGCTAGACCTGTAACCTGGTTATACCCTGGCTAGACCTGGTTATACCCTGGCTAACCTGGTTATAACCCTGGCTAGACCTGGTTATACCCTGGCTAGACCTGGTTATACCCTGGCTAGACCTGGTTTATAACCCTGGCTAGACCTGGTTATACCCTGGCTAGACCTGGTTATACCCTGGCTAGACCTGGTTATACCCTGGCTAGACCTGGTTATACCCTGGCTAGACCTGGTTATACCCTGGCTAGACTGGTTATACCTGGTAGTTATACCCTGGCTAGACCTGGTTATACCCTGGCTAGACCTGGTTTATACCCTGGCTAGACTGGTTATACCCTGGCTAGACCTGGTTATACCTGGCTAACCTGGTTATACCCTGGCTAGACCTGGTTATACCCTGGCTAGAGCTGGTTATACCCTGGCTAGACCTGGTTATACCCTGGCTAGAGCTGGTTTACCCTGGCTAGAGTGTTATACCCTGGCTAACTGGTATACCTGGCTGAGCTGGTTATACCCTGGCTAGAGCTGGTTATACCTGGCTAGAGCTGGTTATACCCTGGCTGAGCTGTTATACCCTGGATATGCCCTGGCTAGACCTGGTTATACCCTGGCTAGAGCTGGTTATACCCTGGCTAGAGACCTGGTTATGTATACCCTGGCTAACCTGGTTATACCCTGGCTAGACTGGTTATACCCTGGCTAGACCTGGTTATACCCTGGCTAGACCTGGTTATACCCTGGCTAGACCTGGTTATACCCTGGCTAGACCTGGTTATACCCTGGCTAGACCTGGTTATACCCTGGCTAGACCTGGTTATACCCTGGCTAGACCTGGTTATACCCTGGCTAGACCTGGTTATACCCTGGCTAGACCTGGTTATACCCTGGCTAGACCTGGTTATACCCTGGCTAGACCTGGTTAATATACCCTGGCTAGACCTGGTTATACCCTGGCTAGACCTGGTTATACCCTGGCTAGACCTGGTTATACCCTGGCTAGACCTGGTTATACCTGGTTATACCCTGGCTAGACCTGGTTATACCCTGGCTAGACCTGGTTATACCCTGGCTAGACCTGGTTATACCTTAGACTGTATACCCTGGCTAGACCTGGTTATACCCTGGCTAGACCTGGTTATACCCAGGCTAGACCTGGTTATACCCTGGCTAGACCTGGTTATACCTGGTTATACCCTGGCTAGACCTGGTTATACCCTGGCTAGACCTGGTTATACCCTGGCTAGACCTGGTTATACCCTGGCTAGAGCTGGTTATACCCTGCTAGAGCTGGTTATACCCTGGCTAGACCTGGTTATACCCTGGCTAGACCTGGTTATACCCTGGCTAGAGCTGGTTATACCCTGGCTAGACCTGGTTATACCCTGGCTAGACCTGGTTATACCCTGGCTAGAGCTGGTTATACCCTGGCTAGAGCTGGTTATACCCTGGCTAGACCTGGTTATACCCTGGCTAGACCTGGTTATACCCTGGCTATACCTGGTTATACCCTGGCTAGACCTTTCACAGTACAGTAATGCAGTTGATCTTACAGTTCCTACCATAGAGATAGATAGAGGACCCATGATGGCGTCTTTCTATCTCTACGGTTCCTACCCAATTCTTCCAAGTCCTGTTGGGATAACTGTAGTTTGAGGTTACTTCATGAAATGATAATGATTTGACAACAGAGAGTGTGGATGCATCCCCAATGGCACCCTATCTATTGTGTGAGCCCTAATCTATAGTGCACTACTTTTGATCAGAGCCCTGTGGGCCCTCATTCCGTCTACGAGTTGGCTCTTTCCTATGCGGTAGCAATTGAGACTGGGAACAAGGTTGTGGGGGTCCTGGTCAAGAGTAGTGCATTGTAAAGGGAATTGGGGGATGCAACCTGTGGATAGTGAGAACAGGGTGGTTCAGATCAGTCGTCCCAGACGATGCCCAGGAGCTCACTGCTGGCGTCCCACAGCCTCCTGGCTGTCTCCTCCTTCCTCCCCTGGGGGGCCACGAAGGCCGGGGCGCAGTCACTGAGAGAGAGGGGGGGGGGCACGGTTATTATATACAGTAATTGTGAGGGAGAGAGAGATTTTCTACAGTAACTGTGGGGAGAGGGAGGAAGAGGAAGCTTGGCTGTTACTTTGGTTATCTGCATGATCAGTGCTTCCCCTTTTGGTTTTAGTCTGTCATCTCATGAAAGTAGAACGTTTCTAATAAATCATTTGGTCATCTAGCAGTTGTGTAATCCAAAGTGACTCACAGAACTGTCAACATTGACAATGACGCATATATTCAGTGGCCGATGTGGCACCATGTTCTAACACACAACCTGCAGCACCATGTTCTAACCCACAACCTGCAGCACCATGTTCTAACCCACAACCTGCAGCACCATGTTCTAACCCACAACCTGCAGCACCATGTTCTAACCCACAACCTGCAGCACCATGTTCTAACCCACAACCTGCAGCACCATGTTCTAACCCACAGCCTGCAGCACCATGTTCTAACCCACAACCTGCAGCACCATGTTCTAACCCACAACCTGCAGCACCATGTTCTAACCCACAACCTGCAGCACCAAGCTCTAACCCACAACCTGCTGCACCATGTTCTAACCCACAACCTGCAGCACCATGTTCTAACCCACACCTGCAGCACCATGTTCTAACCCACAACCTGCAGCACCATGTTCTAACCCACAACCTGCAGCACCATGTTCTAACCCACAGCCTGCAGCACCATGTTCTAACCCACACCTGCTGCACCATGTTCTAACCCACAACCTGCAGCACCATGTTCTAACCCACAACCTGCTGCACCATGTTCTAACCCACAACCTGCAGCACCATGTTCTAACCCAACCGCTGCACCAGTGTTCTAACCCACAGCCTGCAGCACCAGTTCTAACCCACACCTGCATGCACCATGTTTACCCACAACCCAGCACCATTCTAACCTGCAGCACCATGTTTCTAAACCCACAACCTGCAGCACCATGTTCTAACCCACAGCCTGCGCACCATGTTTCTAACCCACAGCACCATGTTCTAACCCCACAGCACCTGCAACCACCTGCACCATGCTCTAACCACAACCTGCAGCACCATGTTTCTAACCCACAGCACCATGTTCTAACCCACAACCTGCTGCACCATGTTCTAACCCACAACCTGCAGCACCATGTTCACCAAAACCTCTGCACCATGTTCTAACCCACAACCTGCAGCACCATGTTCTAACCCACAACCTGCAGCACCATGTTCTAACCAACCTGCAGCACCATGTTCTAACCCACAACCTGCGCACCATGCTCTAACCCACCAGCACCATGTTCTAAACCCTGCAGCAAACCCTGTTCTAACCCACAAACCCGCAGCACCATGTTCTAACCCACAACCTGCAGCACCATGTTCTAACCCACAACCTGCAGCACCATGTTCTAACCCACAACCTGCAGCACCATGTTCTAACCCACAACCTGCAGCACCATGTTCTAACCCACAACCTGCAGCACCATGTTCTAACCCACAACCTGCAGCACCATGTTCTAACCCACACCTGCAGCACCATGTTCTAACCCCAGCCTGCAGCACCATGTTCTAACCCACACCTGCTGCACCATGTTCTAACCCACAACCTGCAGCACCATGTTCTAACCCACAACCTGCAGCACCATGTTCTAACCCACAACATCATGTTCTAACCCACAGCCTGCAGCACCATGTTCTAACCCCCAGCCTGCAGCACCATGTTCTAACCCACAACCTGCAGCACCATGTTCTAACCTGCAGCACCATGTTCTAACCCACAACCTGCAGCACCATGTTCTAACCCACACCTGCAGCAACCAGTGTTCTAACCCAGCACCATTCTCCCAACAACCACACCTGCGCACCATGTTTTTAACCCACAACCTGCTGCACCATGTTCTAACCCACAACCTGCAGCACCATGTTCTAACCCACACCTGCAGCACCATGTTCTAACCCACAACCTGCAGCACCATGTTCTAACCACACCTGCAGCACCATGCTCTAACCCACAACCTGCGCACCATGTTCTAACCCACAACCTGCAGCACCATGTTCTAACCACAACCACAGCACCATGTTCTAACCCACAACCTGCAGCACCATGTTCTAACCCACAACCTGCAGCACCATGTTCTAACCCACAACCTGCAGCACCGTGTTCTAACCCACAACCAGCTTCAGCACCATGTTCTAACCCACACCTGCACACCATGTTCTAAACCCGCAGCACCATGTTCTAACCCACAGCACCAATGTTCTAACCCACAACCTGCAGCACCATGTTCTAACCCACAACCCTGCAGCACCATGTTCTAAAACCCACAACCTGCAGCACCATGTTCTAACCCACAGCACCATGTTCTAACCCACAGCCTGCAGCACCATGTTCTAACCCACAACCTGCAGCACCATGTTCTAACCCACACCTGCAGCACCATGTTCTAACCCCAACAGCACCATGTTCTAACCCACACCTGCAGCACCATGTTCTAACCTGCAGCACCATGTTTCTAACCCACAACCTGCAGCACCATGTTCTAAAACCCACAACCTGCAGCACCATGTTCTAACCCACAACCTGCGCACCATGTTTCTAACCCACAACCTGCACACCATGTTCTACCCACACCTGCAGCACCATGTTCTAACCCACAACCTGCAGCACCATGTTCTAACCCACAACCTGTCTGCAACCATGTTCTAACCCACACCTGCAGCAAACCCTGTTCTAACCCACAACCTGCTGCAAACCATGTTCTAACCCACAACCTGCAGCACCATGTTCTAACCCACAACCTGCAGCACCATGTTCTAACCCACAACCTGCAGCACCATGTTCTAACCCACAGCATCCATGTTCTAACCCACAACCTGCAGCACCAGTGTTCTAACCCACAACCTGCTGCACCATGTTCTAACCCACAACCCTGCGCACCATGTTCTAAACACACACCTGCCACACCATGTTCTAACCCACAACCTGCAGCACCATGTTCTAACCCACCTGCAGCACCATGTTCTAACCCACACCTGCCTCAGCACCATGTTCTAACCCACACTGCAGCACCATGTTTTTTAACCCACAACCTGCAGCACCATGTTCTAAACCCACAACCGCAGCACACCCATGTTCTAACCCACAACCCCACCATGTTCTAACCCACCACCTCAGCACCATGTCTAACCCCAACCTGCAGCCCATGTTCTAACCCACACCTGCAGCACCATTTTCTAACCACAACCTGCAGGCACACACATGTTCTAACCCACAACCTGCAGCACCATGTTCTAACCCACAACCTGCAGCACCATGTTCTAACCCACAACCTGCAGCCATGTTCTAAAACCTGCAGCAACCATGTTCTAACCCACAACCTGCAGCACCATGTTCTAACCTGCAGCACCATGTTCTAACCCACAACCTGCAGCACCATGTTCTAACCCACAACCTGCAGCACCATGTTCTAACCCACAACCTGCAGCACCATGTTCTAACCCACAACCTGCAGCACCATGTTCTAACCCACAGCACCATGTTCTAACCCCACCTCAGCACCATGTTCTAACCCAACCCAGCACCATGTTCTAACCCACACCTGCAGCACCATGTTCTAACCCACACCTCAGCACCATGTTCTAACCCACACCTGCAGCACCATGTTCTAACCCACAACCTGCAGCACCATGTTCTAAACCCACAACCTGCAGCACCATGTTCTAAACCCACACCTGCAGCACCATGTTCTAACCCACAGCACCATGTTCTAACCCACAACCTGCAGCACCATGTTCTAACCCACAACCTGCAAACACCATGTTCTAACCCACAACCTGCAGCACCTGTTTCAACCACCCTGCCACCATGTTCTAACCCCACCTCAGCACCATGTTCAACCCAACAGGCACCATTTTTGCAGCACCAAGCTCTAACCCACAACCTGCAGCACCATGTTCTCACCACAACCTTCAGCATGCACCAAGCTCTAACCCACAGCATCATGTTCAGCACTAGTGCTGAGCGATTAACCAAAATGTGTTATCGGTTTTTAAACAAATAATGGACCGACGTCGTCGGTTCAAGTATTTGGATTCCATTTCGTCAGGTTTTTTCTGTGAGCTCAATGCACAGTTTCTCTAGAGATGAATCAGATCCAGCCCGAACTGTGCGATGTAATACGGAGTTGTAGTTTCCAACAGGCCAATATTCTACAATGTTTGAGCGCAGAAAATGTGGAAATTAACTACAATGACCATAAACCATTGCTCGTCTACTTGTCTGCTCTATGCTGGGAGCGCAGAAACGGAGAGAGACAGAATAACTCTCAATCGAGAGGAATAGAGAGCAGTCGCTTCGCGAGGAATCTCTACCTGAAAATACATGATCTAAGTCAGGACTGCCAACCCTATTTTTGGAGAGCTACCCTCCTGTAGGTTTTTGCTCCAACCCTAATCTAGCACACCTGATTCTAATAATTAGCAGGTTGATAAAATGAATCAGGTTAGTAACACCTGGGGTTGGAGCGAAAACCTACAGGAGGGCAGCTCTCCAGGAACAGGGTTGGGCAACCCTGATCTAAGTGATTGATAGTTGGTGTTTAAAGTCAGCCTTATTTACCTTGAAGAACTACTAAAATAGTGATTTAGTCAGTCAGCGTAGGCAGCAGCTCTATAGGTGAGATGATGACTTGGAATGAAATAATAAAGTCAACAAATAAAACTAATGGAATATACACAACAACTGGAATATTTTATTAAAGTAATATTTATAACTGATGGTTAATAAGTGATAAGCGGTAATGGGCAGTCACTACCATCACGGGACTTTTACTAATTGTTGTATTTTGTGTTACAGCGTTCAACCCACATAGTGCATTTGTTAGAAACAAATAATCGAAAGCGAAAACAGTGTTTACATTTTTTTAAATATATAATCGAACCGAAACCGAACCGACCTCAAAAAGCACTAATCGCTCAGCACTATAACCCACTGAGCCATTGGAATCACAGTTCTATAAAACCCACTGAGCCATTGGAATCACAGTTCTATAAAACCCACTGAGCCATTGGAATCACAGTTCTATAAAACCCACTGAGCCATTGGAATCACAGTTCTATATAACCCACTGAGCCATTGGAATCACAGTTCTATAAAACCCACTGAGCCATTGGAATCACATTTCCATACAACCCACTGAGCCATTGGAATCACAGTTCTATATAACCCACTGAGCCATTGGAATCACAGTTCTATATAACCCACTGAGCCATTGGAATCACAGTTCTATAAAACCCACTGAGCCATTGGAATCACAGTTCTATAAAACCCACTGAGCCATTGGAATCACAGTTCTATAAAACCCACTGAGCCATTGGAATCACAGTTCCATATAACCCACTGAGCCATTGGAATCACAGTTCCATATAACCCACTGAGCCATTGGAATCACAGTTCCATCTAACGAGGATCAGGGGCAGAACCTGCTGAGCTTCACACTGTAATCTCACCTGAAGTGTTTCCCGGTGAGGGAGTGCAGCTCCTCCGCCACGGCACAGTAGATGGATGTCTGGGCCCCCTGCCGAGGGCTCTTCAGGAACATGGAGAACAGCGAGAACAGCAGAGACATGATGGTGGAGTGGCGGACCAGCTCCGAGAGCACCGACCCCGGGTGGACAGAGTTCACTGTCACACTGGAACCTGGGAGGGAGGGATGAAGAGAGGAAGTCAGTTACCATGCTATTGTCAAAGGACAGGCTTTTTGCTTTATCCCCAGCCCCCTGAGACACATTGGTCAGTATACTGAACAGAAATATAAATGCAACATGTAAAGTGTTGGTCCCATGTTTCATGAGCTGAAATAAAAGATCCCAGAAATGTTTCAAACGCACAAAAAGCTTATTTCTCTCAAATTCTGTGCACAAATTTGGTTACATCCCTGTCAGTGAACATTTCTCCTTTGCTAAAATAATCTGTCCAACTGACAGGTGTGGCATATCAAGAAGCTGATTAAACAGCATGATCATTACACAGGTGCACCTTGTGCTGGAGACAATAAAAGGCCAATCTAAAATGTGTAGTTTTGTTACACAACACAATGCCACAGATGTCTCAAGTTTTGAGAGAGCGTGCAATTGGCATGCGGACTGCAGGAACGTCCACCAGAGCTGATGCCAGAGAATTTAATGTTCATTTCTCTACCATAAGCCGCCTCCAACGTCGTTTTAGAGAATTTTGCAGTACGTCCAACCGGCCTCACAACCGCAGACCATGTGTAACCACACCAGCCCAGGACCTCCCCAGACCATGTGTAACCACGCCAGCCCAGGACCTCCCCAGACCATGTGTAACCACGCCAGCCCAGGACCTCCCCAGACCATGTGTAACCATGCCAGCCCAGGACCCTCCCCAGAACCACGTAGAACCACGCAGCCCAGGACCTCCCCAGACCACGTGTCACCCACGCCAGCCCAGGACCTCCCCAGACCAGTCTAACACAACCAGCCCAGGACCTCCCCAGACCACGTGTAACCACGCAGCCCAGGACCTCCCCAGACCACGTGTAACCACGCCAGCCCAGGACCTCCCCAGACCACGTGTAACCACGCCAGCCCAGGACCTCCCCAGACCACGTGTAACCACGCCAGCCCAGGACCTCCCCAGACCACGTGTAACCACGCCAGCCCAGGACCTCCCCAGACCACGTGTAACCACGCCAGCCCAGGACCTCCCCAGACCACGTGTAACCACGCCAGCCCAGGACCTCCACATCCGGCTTCTTCACCTGCGGGGTCGTCTGAGACCAGCCACCCGGACAGCTGATGAAACTGAGGAGTATTTCTGTTTGTAATAAAGCCCTTTTGTGGGGAAAAACGCATTCTGATTGGCTGGGCCTGGCTCCCCAGTTGGGTGGGCCTATGCCCTCCCAGGCCCACCCATGGCTGCACTCCTGCCCAGTCATGTGAAATCTATAGATTAGGGCCTAATGAATTCAATTCAATTGACTGATTTCCTTATATGAACTGTAACTCAATACAATCTTTGGAATTGTTGCGTGTTGCGTTTTATATTTTTGTTCAGTGCATTCGGAAAGTATTCAGACCCCTTGACTTTTTCCACATTTTGTTACGTTACAGCCTTATTCTAAAATGGATGAAATTGTTTTTTCCCCTCATAAAGCTACCCCATAATGACAAAGCAAAAACTGTTTTTTATAAATTTTTGCTAATGTATAAAATAAAATAAACGGAAATATCACATTTACATAAGTATTCAGATCCTTTACTCAGTACTTTGTTGAAGCACCTTTGGCAGCGATTACAGCCTCGAGTCTTCTTGGGTATGACGCTACAAGCTTGGCACACCTGTATTTGGGGAGTTTCTCCCATTCTTCTCTGCAGATCCTCTCTAGCTCTGTCAGGTTGGATGGGGAGCGTCGCTGCACAGCTATTTTCAGGTCTCTCCAGAGATGTTCGATTGGGTTCAAGTCCGGGCTCTGGCTGGGCCACTCAAGGACATTCAGAGACTTGTCCCGAAGCCACTCCTGCGTTGTCTTGGCTGTGTGCTTAGGGTCGTTGTCCTGTTGGAAGGTGAACCTTCTCCCCAGTCTGAGGTCCTGAGCGCTCTGGAGCAGGTTTACATCAAGGATCTCTCTGTACTTTGCTCCGTTCATCTTTCCCTCGATCCTGACTAGTCTCCCAGTCCCTGCCGCTGAAAAACATCCCCACAGCATGATGCTGCCGCCACCATGCTTCACCATAGGGATGGTGCCAGGTTTCCTCCAGACATGACGCTTGGCATTCAGGCCAAAGAGTTCAATCTTGGTTTCATCAGACCAGAGAATCTTGTTTCTCATGGTCTAAGAGTCCTTTAGGTGCCTTTTGGCAAACTCCAAGCGGGCTGTCATGTGCCTTTTACTGAGGAGTGGCTTTCATCTGGCCACTCTACCATCTGCATGCTGCAGAAATGTTTTCTTCGACAATTCCTTCGACCTCATGGCTTGGTTTTTGCTCTGACATGCACTGTCAACTGAGGGACCTTTATATAGCCAGGTGTGTGCCTTTCCAAATCATGTCCAATCAATTGAATTTACCACAGGTGGACTCCAATCAAGTTGTAGAAATATCTCAAGGATGATCAACGGAAACAGGATGCACCTGAGCTCAATTTCGAGTCTCATTGCAAAGAGTCTGAATACTTATGTAAATAAGGTATTTCAGTTTTTTTTTTCTTTCATAAATTTGCTAACATTTCTAAAAACCTGTTTTTGCTTTGTCATTATGGGGTATTGTGTGTAGAATGATGAGGAAAAAAAAGTATTTAATCAATTTTAGAATAAGGTTGTAACGTAGCAAAATGTGTAAAAAGGGAAGAGGTCTGAGAACTTTCAGAATGCACTGTAGTATGTAACCCACTTCCCCTCCCTCGCTCTTCCCCCATCCCACTCCCCCTCCCTCGCTCTTCCCATCCACTCCCCCTCACTCGTCTTCCCCCTCCCTCGCTCTTCCCCCATCCCACTCCTTCCCCCCCTCGCTCTTCCCCCTCCCTCGCTCTTAACACCAATCCCCTCCCCTCCCTCGCCTCTCCCCCTCCCGCCCCCCTCCCTCGCTCATCCCCCCATCCCACTCCCCCTCCTCGCTCTTCTCCCCCTCCCAACCCCCCCCCCCTCCCCGCTCTTCCCCCTCACACTCACTCCCTCCCCCGCCCTCGATCTTCCACTCCCCACTCCACCCCCCTCTCTCTTCCCCCTCCCTCTCCCCCTCCCCGCTCTTCCGCCTCCCTCCCCCCCTCTCCGATCTTCCCCCCTACCGACTCACCCTCTCGCTCTGCCCCCCTCCCACTCCCCATCCCTCGCTCTTCCCCCTCCCTCTCCCCCCTCCGCGCGCGCTTCCCCCTCCCAAGCCAATCCCCCCCTCTGCCCTCCCTCTCCACCCTCCCTCGCTCTTCCCCCTCCCTCTCCCCTTCCCTCACTCTTCCCCCTCCCTCTCCCCCTCCCTACCTTTGAGTCTGCGGGCCAGCTCCCTAGCGAACAGGACGTTGGCCAGCTTGCTCTGGCAGTATGCGAGGCCGCTGTTGTAGCTGCCCTGGCTGAGGAGGTCATGGAAGCGGATCCAGCCAAAGTTATGAGCCAGGGAGGAAACCACGACGATGCGGGCCGGAGCGCTCCGCTTTAGTAGGCCAATCAGGAGGTACGTCAACAGGAAGTGACCTACCAGGAAGAAACAGTAAACAACAATACATTATGCAATCCGTGTTGCACTGCAACAAAGGATCAGAGTGTAATATCCTAATATCAGAAAAATAAAACGATTGGAGTTGTTGAATGTAACACTGTTTTTATGTCATAGGGCCACAGGAAGTGATCTACCAGTAGTAAACAGTAAACAACAACACGATTCAATCAGTGCTGCTTTGTCAGAAAGTAAATAATATTAGGATCATGTTGAATGAAGTACTACTTTGTACACGGTTAGTATTATGAAGTACTACTTTGTACACGTTAGTATCATGAAGTACTACTTTGTACACGGTTAGAATTATGAAGTACTACTTTGTACACGGTTAGTATTATGAAGTACTACTTTGTACACGGTTAGTATTATGAAGTACTACTTTGTACACGATTAGTATTATGAAGTACTACTTTGTACACGGTTAGTATTGTTAAGGCTAGCGGCCCACATGCTCTTCAAAAGGCTATACGGTCACTCCTGACCTGCAAAATAATATTTAATTTCAGAATTGGTTAAAATGTAGGTTAGGGATTAGTTAAGGTAAGGGTCAGTTTCAGATTTTGTTTACTAGTTTTACAGGTCAGGAGTGCCCTTATAGCCTCTCTCTCTTCATACTGTAGATACTGTAAGTGCTCTTCATATATAAGGGCTACAGCTCTTCATATATAAGGGCTACAGCTCTTCATATATAAGGGCTACAGCTCTTCATATATAAGGGCTACAGCTCTTCATATATAAGGGCTACAGCTCTTCATATATAAGGGCTACAGCTCTTAAGGGCTACAGCTCTTCATATATAAGGGCTACAGCTCTTCATATATAAGGGCTACAGCTCTTCATATATAAGGGCTACAGCTCTTCATATATAAGGGCTACAGCTCTTCATATATAAGGGCTACAGCTCTTCATAGATAAGGGCTACAGCTCTTCATTCGGAAAGTATTCAGACCCCTTTTGACTTTTTACACATTTTGTTACATTACAGCCTTATTCTAAAATTGATTAAAATTGTTGTTGTTTTTTCCCCTCAAGAACACAGTGGCCTAGATACCAGTAGTGGAAAAAGTACCCAATTGTCATACTTGAGTAAAAGTAAAGATACCTTAAAATACAATTATTCAAGTAAAAGTCACCCAGTAAAATACTACTTGAGTAAAAGTCTAAAAGTATTTGGTTTTAAATATGCTTAAGTATCAAAAGTGAAAGTATAAATCATTTCAAATTCCTTATATTAAGCAAACCAGACGGCACGATTTTCTTGTTTTTTAAAATTCACGGATAGCCAGGGGCACACTGCAACAGTCAGACATAATTTACAAAGGAAGCATGTGTGTTTAGTGAGTCTGCCTGATCAGAGGCAGTAGGGATGACCAGGGATGTTCTCTTGATAAGTGCATGAATTAGACAATTTTTCTGTCCTGCTAAGCATTCAAAATGTAACGAGTACTTTTGGGTGTCAGGGAAAATGTAAAAAGTACAGTATTTTCTTTAGGAACGTAGTGGAGTAAAAATAAAAGTCTAAAATATAAATAGTAAAGTACAGATACCCAAATGTCACGAACGTTGAGAGACGGGTCAGACCAAGGTGCAGCGTGGTATGCGAACATGTTTATTAAACGAATAAACACTCACGACAAAACAACAAACCGACGGGACGGGACGTCCAAGGCTATACACAATACAAGCCTAACACGGAACAAGATCCCACGACTAAGGTAGGCAAACAGGCTACTTAAGTATGATCCCCAATCAGAGACAACGAGCGACAGCTGCCTCTGATTGGGAACCACACCCGGCCAGACATAGAAATACGAATCCTAGATCCTAAACATAGAATACATCACATAGATCTCCACACCCTGACTCAACATACAAGAGCTCCATACGTCAGGGCGTGACACCAAAAAACGACTTAAGTAGTACTTTAAAGTATTTTTTACTTACAGTTGAAGTCGGAAGTTCACATACACTTAGGTTGGAGTCATTAAAACTCGTTTTTCAACCACCACAAATGTCTTGTTAACAAACTATAGTTTATCACAATTCCAGTGGGTCAGAAGTTTACATACACTAAGTTGACTGTACCTTTAAACAGCTTGGAGAATTCCAGAAAATTATGTAATTTACATTACATTTACATTTTAGTCATTTAGCAGACGCTCTTATCCAGAGCGACTTACAGTTAGCACATACATTATTTTATCGAACCCACAACCCTGGCGTTGCAAACGCCATGCTCTACCAACTGAGCTACATCCCTGGCTTTAGAAGCTTCTGATAGGCTAATTGACAACATTTGAGTCAATTGGAGGTGTACCTGTAGATGTATTTCAAGGCCTACCTTCAAACTCAGTGCCTCTTTGCTTGACATCGTGGGAAAATCAAAAGAAATCAGCCAAGACCTCAGAAAAGAAATTGTAGACCTCCACAAGTCTGGTTCATACTTGGGAGCAATTTCCAAACGCCTGAAGGTACCACGTTCATCTGTACAAACAATAGTACGCAGGTATAAACACCATGGGACCACGCAGCCTTCATACCGCTCAGGAAGGAGACGCGTTCTGTCTCCTAGAGATGAACGTACTTTGGTGCGAAAAGGGTAAATTAATCCCAGAACAACAGCAAAGGACCTTGTGAAGATGCTGAAGGAAACAGGTACAAAAGTATATATATCCACAGTAAAACGAGTCCTATACCGACATAACCTGAAAGGCCGCTCAGCAAAGAAGAAGCCACTGCTCCAAAACCGCCATAAAAAAGCCAGACTACGGTTTGCAACTGCACATGGGGACAAAGATCGTACTATTTGGAGAAATGTCCTCTGGTCTGATTAAACAAAAATAGAACTGTTTGGCAATAATGACCATCGTTATTTTTGGAGGAAAAAGGAGGTAGCTTGCAAGCCGAAGAACACCATCCCAACCGTGAAGCACAGGGGTGGCAGCATCATGCTGTGGGGGTGCTTTGCTGCAGGAGGGACTGGTGCACTTCACAAAATAGATGGCATCATGAGGAAGGAAAATTATGTGGATATATTGAAGCAACATCTCAAGACATCAGTCAGGAAGTGAAAGCTTGGTCGCAAATGTGTCTTCCAAATGGACAATGACCACAAGCATACTTCCAAAGTTGTGGCAAAATGGCTTAAGGACAACAAAGTCAAGGTATTGGAGTGGCCATCACAAAGCCCTGACCTCAATCCTACAGAAGATGTGTGGGGAGAACTGAAAAAGCATGTGCGAGCAAGGAGGCCTACAAACCTGACTCAGTTACACCAGCTCTGTCAGGAGGAATGGACCAAAATTCACCCAACTTATTGTGGGAAGCTTGTGGAAAGCTACCGCAACGTTTGACCCAAGTTAAACAATTTAAAGGCAATGCTACCAAATACTAATTGAGTGTATGTAAACTTCTGACCCACTGGGAATGTGATGAAAGGGGTGTCTTGAAAATCAAAGCTCACAACCCTGCTCAAAAGCAAACACTCTGCTCAGAAATCTCCTTGCTCCTGGAAAAGCATGCAATTGAAGATGTATAACCAGCGCAACAAAACTGCGGGTTTTCAATGTATTTTCTGGTGCCAAAAAAAGGCGGAGGCCTCAGTCTGATCCTGGACCTAAGGTGGCCTCAGTCCGATCCTGGACCTAAGGTGGCCTCAGTCCGATCCTGGACCTAAGGTGGCCTCAGTCCGATCCTGGACCTAAGGTGCCTCAGTCCGATCCTGGACCTAAGGTGGCCTCAGTCCGATCCTGGACCTAAGGTGCCTCAGTCCGATCCTGGACCTAAGGTGGCCTCAGTCCGATCCTGGACCTAAGGTGCCTCAGTCCGATCCTGGACCTAAGGTGGCCTCAGTCCGATCCTGGACCTAAGGTGGCTGAATCGTCATCTTTCAGCACTTCCCTTCAAAATGCTGTCAATCAAAACCACCCTTCGGTCAGTACAACCAGGTGATTGGTTCACCGCAGTGGACCTGAAAGACTCATACTTTCACATCCCCATTCTACCAGCACACAGAAAATACTTCACATTTGCCTTTGAAAAACTTGTTTATCAGTTTTGCGTTTGACCCTTCGGCCTTTTGCTCCCCCCTCACACTTTCACAAAGGCCCCCCTTCGCCAAAGTCAGGGTCCTGAACTACTTAAATGATTTGCTAATATGTGCAGGGTCACAAAGCCAAGCTTTGGCAAACACATCCATGGTCTCACTTCACCTCTCCGAGTTGGGACTAACAATGAACTTGGAAAATAGTTTTCTGGTCCCCACTCAGTGTGTGCACGTGCACTTCCTGGGCTTGACACTGGACAGTCAAATCATGCGAGCAACACACTCTCTCCAGAAAGAGATTTAAACTGAGAAAACAGGTGACAGAGAGTCTAGGCCTCCTAGCTGCTGCAGTCAATATAGCTACAACCGACACAATCTATGTCCCAGAAGGACTGACAATTTCAATGAGTTGCTGGAGAGCAATGCAATGGTGGTACAACCGACACAATCTATGTCCCAGAAGGACTGACAATTTCAATGAGTTGCTGGAGAGCAATGCAATGGTGGTACAACCGACACAATCTATGTCCCAGAAGGACTGACAATTTCAATGAGTTGCTGGAGAGCAATGCAATGGTGGTACAACCGACACAATCTATGTCCCAGAAGGACTGACAATTTCAATGAGTTGCTGGAGAGCAATGCAATGGTGGTACAACCGACACAATCTAAACTCAGCAAAAAAAGAAAATGTCCTTTCACTGTCAACTGCGTTTATTTTCAGCAAACTTAACATGTGTAAATATTTGTATGAACAAAACAAGATTCAACAACTGAGACATAAACTGAACAAGTCCCACAGACATGTGACTAACAGAAATGGAATAATGTGTCCCTGAACAAAGGTGGGGGGTCAAAATCAAAAGTAACAGTCAGTATCTGGTGTGGCCACCAGCTGCATTAAGTACTGCAGTGCATCTCCTCCTCATGGACTGCACCAGATTTGCCAGTTCTTGCTGTGAGGCACCTGCAAGTTCCCTGACATTTCTGAGGGGAATGGCCCTAGCCCTCACCCTCCGATCCGGTCCCAGACGTGCTCAATGGGATTGAGATCCGGGCTCTTCGCTGGCCATGGCAGAACACTGACATTCCTGTCTTGCAGGAAATCACGCACAGAACGAGCAGTATGGCTGGTGGCATTGTCATGGAGGGTAATGTCAGGATGAGCCTGCAGGAAGGGTACCACATGAGGGAGGAGGATGTCTTCCCTGTAACGCACAGCGTTGAGATTGCCTGCAATGACAACAAGCTCAGTCCGATGATGCTGTGACACACCGCCCCAGACCATGACGGACCCTCCACCTCCAAATCGATCCCGCTCCAGAGTACAGGCCTTGGTGTAACGCTCATTCCTTCGACAATAAACGCGAATCCGACCATCACCCCTGGTGAGACAAAACCGCGACTCGTCAGTGAAGAGCACTTTTTGCCAGTCCTGTCTGGTCCAGCGACGGTGGGTTTGTGCCCGTGATGTCTGGTGAGGACCTGCCTTACAACAGGCCTACAAGCCCTTAGTCCAGCCTCTCTCAGCCTATTGCGGACAGTCTGAGCACTGATGGAGGGATTGTGCGTTCCTGGTGTAACTCGGGCAGTTGTTGTTGCCATCCTGTACCTGTCCCGCAGGTGTGATGTTCGGATGTACCGATCATCTGCAGGTGTTGTTACACGTGGTCTGCCACTGCAAGGACGATCAGCTGTCCGTCCTGTCTCCCTGTAGCGCTGTCTTAGGTGTCTCACAGTACGGACATTGCAATTTACTGCCCTGGCCACATCTGCAGTCCTCATGCCTCCTTGCAGCATGCCTAAGGCACATTCATGCAGATGAGCAGGGACCCTGGGCATCTTTCTTTTGGTGTTTTTCAGAGTCAGTAGAAAGGTCTCTTTAGTGTCCTAAGTTTTCATAACTGTGACCTTAATTGCCTACCGTCTGTAAGCTGTTAGTGTCTTAACAACCGTTCCACAGGTGCATGTTCATTAATTGTTTATGGTTCATTGAACAAGCATGGGAAACAGTGTTTAAACCCTTTACAGTGAAGATCTGTGAAGTTATTTGGATTTTTACAAATTATCTTTGAAAGACAGGGTCCTGAAAAATTGACATTTCTTTTTTTGCTGAGTTTATGTCCCAGAAGTGACGAACACAAAAAGCTGACATTTTCAATGAGTTGCTGAAGAGCAATACAGTGGTGACGCCTAGCACTTCAAACTCCCAGCAGCCACCCTGCATCCCACTGCTGGCTTGCCTCTGAAGCTAAGTAGGGTTGGTCCTGGTCAGTCCCTGGATGGGAGACCAGATTTACATTTACATTTTAGTCATTTTTTAAATTATTTTAATTTTTTTATACTGGCCCCACATGGGAATCGAACCCACAACCCTGGCGTTGCAAACGCCATGCTCTATCAACTGAGCTACATCCCTGCCGGCCATTCCCTCCCCTACCCTGGACGACGCTGGGCCAATTGTGCGCCGCCCATGAGTCTCCCGGTCGCGGCCGGCTGCGACAGAGCCTGGATTCAAACCAGGATCTCTAGTGGCACAGCTAGCACTGCGATGCAGCGCCTTAGACCACTGCGCCACTCAGGAGCTGTGCACCAGATGCGGCTGGAAGTGGTGTTGGAGGGTCAGTAGGGGGCGGTCTTTCCTATGGTATAAAAATATATATATACTGAACAAAAATATAAACATGTAAAGTGTTGGTCCCATGTTTCATGAGTTGAAATAAAATATCCCTGAATTTGTCCATATGCACAAAAAGCTTATTTCTCACAAATTTGGTTAGATCGCTGTTCTTGAACATTTCCCCTTTGCCAAGATAATCCATCCACCTGACAGGTGTGGCATATCAAGAAGCTGATTAAACAGTATGATCATTACACAGGTGCACCTTGTGCTGGGGACAATAAAAGGCCAATCTAAAATGTGCAGTTTTGTCACACAATGCCACAGATGTCTAAAGTTTTGAGGGCGCATGCAATTGGCATGCTGACTGCAGGAATGTCCACAATAGCTGTTGCCAGATAATTTAATGTTAATTTCTCTACCATAAGCCACCTCCAACATGGTTTTAGAGAATTTGGCAGTACATCCAACCGGCCTCACAATCGCAGACCACGTGTAACCATGCCAGCCTAGGACCTCCACATCCGGCTTCTTCACCTGCGGGATCATCTGAGACCAGCCACCTGGACAGCTGATGAACCTGAGGAGTATATCTGTCTGTAATAAAGCCCTTTTGTGTGGAAAAACGAATTCTGTTTGGCTGAGCCTGGCTCCCCAGTCGGTGCGCCTGGCTCCCATTTGGGTGGGCCTATGCCCTCCCAGGCCCACCAATGGCTGCACCTCTGCCCAGTCATGTGAAATCCATAGATTAGGGCCTAATGAATTTATTTCAATTGACTGATTTCCTTATATTAACTGTAACTCAGTAAAATCGTTGAAATTGTTACATGTTGCGTTTATATTTTTGTTCAGTATATATCCCAATGCCCCAGGGCAGTGATTGGGGACATTGCCCTGTGTAGGGTGCTGTCTTTCGGATGGGATGTTAAATGGGTGTCCTGACTCTCTGTGGTCACTAAAGATCCCATGGCACTTATCGTAAGAGTGTTAATCCTGGTGTCCTGGCTAAATACCATCATGGCCACCTAATCATCCCCAGCTTCCAATTGGCTCATTCGTCCCCCCTCCTCTTCCCTGTAACTATTCCCCAGGTCATTGCTGTAAATGAGAATGTGTTCTCAGTCAACTTACCTCTAAAATATATATATATATATATATATATATATATATATATATTATTTGTTTTACTCCCAGTGGAGTTCTCCTAGACGCAGTTCAGATGACTTTGACCACAGACACCTCCGTACAGGGACGGGGAGCGGTCTTGAACCAGTCAGGGGTCCATGGACAACGGTTCACATCAACGTCCTGGAGCTCAAGGCGGTTTACTCCAGGCACTCCGTCACTTCATCCCAGTACTGAGAAGACAACACGTACTGATACGGACAGACAACCAAACTGTGGTTGCACACATGAACCGCCAGCGTCAATGGCTAGTAGCTGGGGAGCTACTGCTTTGGTCAAACAGACACCTTACATCCCTCAGAGCAATACATCTGCCGGGGGTGGAGAATCAGGAAGCAGATCTTCTCTCCAGAGGAGGCCCTCTTCCTTCAGACAATACACCTGCCGGGGGTGGAGAATCAGGAAGCAGACCTTCTCTCCAGAGGAGGCCCTCTTCCTTCAGACAATACACCTGCCGGGGGTGGAGAATCAGGCAGCAGACCTTCTCTCCAGAGGAGGCCCTCTTCCTTCAGACAATACACCTGCCGGGGGTGGAGAATCAGGAAGCAGACCTTTTCTCCAGAGGAGGCCCTCTTCCTTCAGACAATACACCTGCCGGGGGTGGAGAATCAGGAAGCAGACCTTCTCTCCAGAGGAGGCCCTCTTCCTTCAGACAATACACCTGCCGGGGGTGGAGAATCAGGAAGCAGACCTTCTCTCCAGAGGAGGCCCTCTTCCTTCAGACAATAGACCTGCCGGGGGTGGAGAATCAGGCAGCAGACCTTCTCTCCAGAGGAGGCCCTCTTCCTGGTGGAGAATCAGGCAGCAGACCTTCTCTCCAGAGGAGGCCCTCTTCCTTCAGACTGGAAGATACATCTCACGGTAGTGGAGATGATCTGGGCGCAATTCAGAATGGCCATTGGCGATCTGTTCACATAGCAAGACTCAACCCTATGTGGTTCTCCATAAAGGGTCCAGCAGGCCAACTCCGGGTCAATGCCCTATCAGATAGATAAGGGGGCTGCTGGATGCGTTTCCACCAATTCCCTCGCTCCCTCAGGTGTTCAGGAAGATCAGTCTCCAGAGCTCGTCAGTTGTACTTGTTGCTCCACATTGGCCACAGCATCACTGGTTTTTTTTCGACCTTGTACAGCTAACGACCCCTCAACCATGGGAACTCCCTCTTCAAGTGGACCTCCTGTCACAATAGAACGGCAAGCTTTGGCACCCCAGACCCGGCACACTGAAGTTGTGGGTGAGGCCCCTGAACGTGACCACCTTGTAGCTGCAGGGTTGAACCTCCTCTGTAAAATTGATAAAAAAATCAGGCAGCCAGGGCATCCTCTGTATTCCTACAAGTGGAACGTGTTCAGGAAGTGGTGTGTCGACCCATGCAGAATCGCCATCTTCCTGTCATTTGGACTTTCCCCCTGGAGCTTATGGCTGCAGGGAAGTCCCCATCTAAATAGATTCTATATATCTCCTCACAGGAGAGTCGGTGAGTTGCGTGCACTTTGCCGGGTTAGGGCATTAGGGGTCTATCTTGCTACAACAAGAACTGTTTGTCAAACCGAGCAGCTTTTTGTTTGTTATGGGGAGAACACAAAGGTCCAGGTTATGACCACGCCATCATTTACATTACAGTCCTTTAGCAGACGCTCTTATCCAGGTTAAGTGCCTTGCTCAAGGGCACGTCGACAGATTTTTCACCTAGTCGGCTCGGGGATTAGAACCAGCGACCTTTCGGTTACTGGCACAACGCTCTTAACCACTAAGCCACCTGCCGCCATCAGTGGGGTCTGTGGTTCTGGACACGGCCCACTCTCTCAACCCAGTTAAGTGAGTGTTCCGTGAACCTTGTACAAAGTTACTTATCAACCGTCAGTGAAATGGATGTTCTATACAGCGGCCTTCCACTCTTGGTGCTGTTGCACCCAATCGAAGCCTCATCTGGAAGTTCTAGCTTTCAGCTTGCTTGTGTATTTGGTTGTATACCACATTTTGAAATTAGTTTTTTTACAATTTTGGGTGATTTATATTCTGTTGCATCATGGAGATCCCATAGGTCAGGGTTCTTCAATTTCGGTCCTGGAGGGCCGAAACACCTCTGTTTTTCATCCTCTCCTTCTAATCAGGGGCTAATTCAGACCTGGGACACCAGGTGAGTGCAATTAACTACCAGGTAGAAATAAAAAACAGAAGTGTTTTCGGCCCTCCAGGACCGGAATTGAAGAACCCTCCCATAGGTCATTTAGTGACCTGTTACTCTACTCAGAGAACCAAGGTTACATCCGTAACCCAACATTAAAAAAAAACATCTGTAGCGCAAACAAGGTAGATTGATAGACGGCCACTCATGCATTAGCCATTGGGCTATGTTTAAAAAAAGGCTCTCAACCAATACCAGGGAAGAAAAAGTAACAAAAATCCTAAGTTATCAAAAACAGTCACCAACAGTGTTGGCTAGTGTAGTCCTTTATCGCCTCATTAACTTGCATGAATTACTTAAGATATTACTCAGCCGTATCTTCAAGTCCTTGGCCCGCTTCCTCGGCGGTACTGTAGATATGTCTCTTTCCATCTATGGTGATGATAAGCCTGGCTGGGTACAGTTGGCCTGGCTGGGTACAGTAGGTCTGGCTGGGTACAGTTGGCCTGGCTGGGTACAGTTGGTCTGAATGGGTACAGTAGGTCTGGCTGGGTACAGTTGGCCTGGCTGGGTACAGTAGGTCTGAATGGGTACAGCGGTAGCGGAGGTCAGTTTCTTCTTGATATTGGCATACTCCGCGCATTGTCGTTGGAGCTCCACAGGGAAATCCTGTTACACAACAGTTTCCCGTCCCAGATCAGCTTCTCCTTTTAACCCGCAGCTCTCATGATGTTCTGTCGGTTGCTCCATCGTAGCAGGTGTATGTAGTATGGACATTGTGGTTCGGGCAGGATCGGAGGCTTCGGCGCCGTCTCTCCACCTCTGGTGCCGGGTCAGAATCCTTTAGGTCCACAATGTACCGGAGTATCTTGCCCGTTGTCTTGTTCGGGTCACCCGCCTCGAAGTAGGGCCTCTTTCAGGCCCACCAGGACCAGGTTATTTCTCCTGCTACGTGACTCCAAATCGGGTTTTCAGGTAGTCCTGGTGTTTGGTGTTTTACGTCTTCTTCCTCTGTGTTACTCTGGTGTTCTGGTGCCCCAATCCGCTTCTCTGCCTTGACTACTCTGCTCAACACGGACTTAGTGTGTTTTTAAACTTCTTTAGTAGAGTCGTCGAGTAGATCAAACCTCTGCTGGAATGAGTTCTTGATGCTGGTGACCTCCTCGGTCAGGTGCCGTGCCCAGCTCGGCGTCTCCTCCTCGGTCAGGTGCCGTGCCCAGCTCGGCGTCTCCTCCTCGGTCAGGTGCCGTGCCCAGCTCGGCGTCTCCTCCTCGGTCAGGTGCCGTGCCCAGCTCGGCGTCTCCTCCTCGGTCAGGTGCCGTGCCCAGCTCGGCGTCTCCTCCTCGGTCAGGTGCCGTGCCCAGCTCGGCGTCTCCTCCTCGGTCAGGTGCCGTGCCCAGCTCGGCGTCTCCTCCTCAGTCATTATGGGTTTGGTAGCAGGCCGATTTGGATCTAGTTTCTTTGCTGCTTGCTGGTCTCCGGTCGGACTCCTGTACCAGTCATTTACCCAACTGTGTGCAAAGTACAGTTTACGAACTTGAAGTGGGCTTTTTAGGGTGTTAAAATAGGCTATACTTGGCAAAATGTCAAGGTCTGGAATGCGAGAGGAAACAAGTATGCCATTTTGTTCATTCATGTTGGGGTTTGTGTGTGCGGAAAGACAAATTGAGCCCTAGAAGTGAGTCTGCTTTAAAATCTCACCCAGGTGGTTGACCCCCAGCTGCATCTCGAAACCGTCGTTGGTCTTCATGTAGGGACACATCATGACCCCTGCATTGTTGATCAGGATGTGGAGGTGGTTGACCTCTGTAGGTATCAGATACAAAGTCAATATTATACTTTGCTTTACAGAGTAACACATTATAATATTAGTGCTTGCCTTGAAATAAACTGTAATAACACTAGAATAAATACTCAAATAAACTAATAACACTAGAATAAATACTGTAATATTGTAATAACACTAGAATAAATACTGTAATATTGTAATAACACTAGAATAAATAATGTAATATTGTAATAACACTAGAATAAATAATGTAATATTGTAATAACACTAGAATAAATACTGTAATATTGTAATAACACTAGATAAAACTGTAATAATATTGTAATAACACTAGAATAAATACTGTAATAATATTGTAATAACACTAGAATAAATACTGTAATATTGTAATAACACTAGAATATACTGTAATAATATTGTAATAACACTAGAATAAATACTGTAATAATTTGTAATAACACTAGATAACTATGTAATATGGGTGGTAATTAACACTAGAAATACTGTAATATTGTAATAACATAGAATAAGCTACTGTAACTATGTAAGCCTATGAATATACTGTAATAATATTGTAATAGACACTAGATAATACTGTATATGTAATACACTAGATATATACTGTACGATATACTTAATAACATAGAATAGAATACTGTAAATATTGTAATAACCTAGAATAAATAACGTAATAGTTCAATAACACTAGAATATACTGTAATAACTATGTAATAACACTAGAATAAATACTGTTAAAATTGTAATACACTAGATATACTGTAATAATATTGTATAACACTAAATACATCTGCTAATATTGTAATACACTAGAATATACTGTAATATATTGTAATAACCTAGAATAAATACTGTAGATATTGTAATAACACTAAATATACTGTAATCTTGATAACACTAGAATAAATACTGTAATAATATTGTAATAACCACTAGATAATACTGTAATTTGTATAACATAGAATACTGTAATATTGTAATAACACTAGAATAAACAGATTACTGTAATATTGTATAACACTAGAATAAATTATATTGTATAACATAAATTTGTAATAATATACACTAGAATAAATACTGTAAATAAATTGTAATAAATTGTAAGGGTTATGTGGTTTGTGCCCAAATGGTACCCCTATTCCCTATGTCCCTGTTCAAAGTAGTGAATATGGTCGATTTGGGACACTAGAGGCTTACCCTCGGAGGAAGCGTTGTGGTCGAAGGCCCGTATGGAGCTGGTATCAGGCCAGGTCCAGCTCTCCGGACCTCTACGTTTGCCTTGCGTAAATACGTCCGTATCGATGCTGCGGCCTCCTCACCCTTCTCCACATCCCGGCACGCCATGATCACCCTTGCACCTGGTAATAGACAATAACCAATAATCAGCATCATTGAGTACTTTGATGGTTCGCCTCCTATCGCTAGTCCCTTCCATCCTCCGCCACGACGACTTAAGCCCGCTCCTCACGCCCGCAGCCCCTCTTCCTCGCGCTACTAGTCCTCCTCCTCTTCTCCTCATCCTCCTCCTCATCCTCTTCCTCTAGCTTCATACCGCCTCATCTTCTCCTCTCCTTCTCTTGTCCTCGCCATCCTCCCCTCATCTTCCTCCTCCTCCTCTTCCTCCTCCTCATCATTCCTCATCTTCCTCCTCAGAGCCTCCTCTTCCTCCTCATCCTCCTCTTCCTACTCCGCCTCTTTCTCTACCTCCTCCTCATCCTCCTCCTCCTCCTCCTCCTCCTCCTCCTCTTCCTCTTATCATTATCTTTGTAGTGATGAAGGAAAGGAGGCCTCACCATTAATGACTATTGTGAAGAAGACCATGTGTCCCAAATGAAACCTTATTCCCTCAAGTGCACATTTTTGACCAGGGCCCCAAAGTAGTGCACTATATAAGGAATAGGGTACCATTTGGCTGCGTTTACACAGGCAGCTCAATTCTGATCTTCTGCCCAATTACTGGCAATAAGATCAGAATGGTCTGTCTGTGTAAACGCAGCCATTGAGACGCAGCCCTGTATGTGTCAGTCAGTCACCTCTGATAGCCAGGTCCAGGGCAGTCTCCTTCCCAATACCAGTGTTGGCTCCAGTAATCAGGACCGTCTTCCCGTCCAGCCGGGCCATAGACATACATGCTCCACCAGCGGAGTATTTCCTGACAGACAAACACAATGGATCTGTGTTATTATCTACAGTCAAACTTCCCCTATCAGTCCTGTATGTGTTGGCAAGGTTGGCAATGGCATATAGTCAAAAGTCCACACCAGGGACTGCATCCCAAATTACACCCTATTCTCCAAATAGTTCCCTATCCCCACTCTATCCCCACTCTACCCCCACTATATTCCCACTCTATCCCCACTCTACCCCCACTATATTCCCACTCTATCCCCACTCTATCCCCACTATAGTGGGAAAAGGGTTCCATTTGGGACAGACCCTGAATAGAGATAAATGGGGTACACTTTTTTTTTGGGTGGGGTTTATTATTATTCATGACTAGTACTGATCATTCAACATGCAACATATTGTTACTCAATATGCAGGATCACTCACTGGCAACAATGATCAAACGTCAACTCGTTCGACTCAGTCCGGTCTATTAACCAACGGCTCACGGAACATAACGGTTACAAATATAACTCTGCCCACGCGCGCAACACTGTTGTGCATAATCATGTAATGAAATATTGTATCGCGTTACTGTACAGCACTCCCCTACCAAAACGAATAGCATTATTTATTCCTACCAGTAGCCTAGTCCCCTGTAGTTTAGTTGGTAGAGCATGGCGCTTGCAACGCCAGGGTTGTGGGTTCGTTTCCCACGGGGGGGGGGGGGCAGTATGAAAAATGTATGCACTCACTAACTGTAAGTCGCTCTAGATATGAGCGTCTGCTAAATGACTAAAATGTATATTGACAAATGAACCATATTCAATTGACAGTGCATTTAGAGCCTTTGTTCCACAAAACAACAACAAATTAATGTTGTTTTGAAAAATGTGGTTGTCTTCATTATGGAAAATAGTGTTAATCTATTGCATAAGAATAGTCTGGATCATCGTCATCAACATTGATGTCGACTCACCCATTAATTCCCGCAAATAGCCTTTTTAACCCAATGGCAAAACACAATCCCTTCGTCTTTAGCTTGACAATGACAGTAATTCATCTCTACTGAGGTTAGACTAATTAGTCTATATGAGATGCCAAGCATGGAGTCAGACGATGCATCGACTATAGCCTCGAACATACAGCGCTTATTCTTACCTAATGTGGGGTGCGAATAAAACCATGAGCAGCGCAACCACCCCAAGACCTGCGACAATTAATACGAGAACCATCATGACACGGATCCGCGCTCTCCTCTATTGTAGCTCTTCTTCACTGCTGTTCCTTCATGGCTCGGTTCTATGTTCCACGGACCAACAGCTGATCCAAGATGTCTAAAGCTTTACGGTGAAGTGTAGGAGGATGAGTTTATATATACATCATTGGTTGTCACAGCGATGCTCGTTCAATTGAATCCTGGGATTGTAGTCTTCCATAGATTCAAAGCAAACGGCATTACTTCCTATTGCATTTGAAGTTGTATGTAAAGACAGTTCCGCTATGCATATTTAATATTTGTAAAAACACAATAGGCCTATTTGTCATTCACAGCAAATTCTACAATTTCTACAACCTGCTATTTGGTTTGAAATATACTAGTCCTAACCTTCAGATGAAAAAAAGGTAAAGATCGCCAGTTTGTAGTCCTAAAAACCGGAAATGAGTTACCGTTGGTTCCTTCAGCCGTTCCAAAGCGGGAAAAATAGGACTTTGGGATAATCGCCGAAAAATAAAGATCTGAGGTTAACACAGGTTTAGGAGATCTTATACGTTTTGTTCTATGATATAATAACAGTCATTTAACACGACCTTTATGAATTATGAAGCCTTTATGTACTTCATGTGCTTTTTGGATTACATAAATGTACAAACATTCTAAGTGACATTAGCTGATGTATAAGATGTCCTAAGCCTGTGTTTACCACAGACCTTATTTTCGGCGTGTATCCAAAACCCCTTTCAAACACTCCTTTCATTTGTCAGTTAATCAATCCAATTGATTTATAAAGCCCCTTTTTTTTTTTTTTACATCAGTAGTTGTCACAAAGTGCTTATACAGATACCTAGCCTAAAACCCCAAAGAGCAAGCAATGGAGAAGCACTGTGGCTAGGAAAAACTCCATTGCAAGGCAGGAACCTAGAGAGGAACCAGGCTTCGTGAAGGTAGTACGACTGGTGAACAGGTCAGGGTTCCATAGCCGCAGGCAGAACAGCAGAAACTGGATCGGCAGCACGACCGGGGACGGGGACAGCCAGGAGTCGTCAGGCCAGGTGGTCCGGAGGCATGGTCTTAGGGCTCAGGTCCTCTGAGAGGGGAGGGAGAGATGGGAGAATTAGAGGGAGCATACCTAAGATCACACAGGACACCGGATAAGACAGGCGAATTACACCAGATGTGACAGACTGACCCTAGCCCCCAGGCACATAGACTATTGCGGCATAAAATACTGAAGACTGAGATCCATGGCGGAGACGGTGCCTACAAAAAGACGCCATTACTATTGTTCTGTATTACCAAAGGAGGTATAACATATGCCGACTTTCCTGGCGAAACACGACATGCGCATGTCCTACAAAGAAGGCCAACTTTCAGGGCGGCGGGTAAGTTAAAACGCCTTTCTTTTCTGGCTAGGTAGCAAGCTTTTTTATTCTTTGTAAAACGTTTTTTTGGAAACTATTGTCCAATTCACTGTTACAACGAGTCTACCGAAATCGATTACGTAAAGTTATTTTGCAATCTATTTTTAGCTAACGTTAGCGAGCTAGCTCGATTCTTCTGTATTGAGCAATAGCTAGCGAGCATAATCATTAGAAAAGGGATCATTCACCTGCTGACCTAGCAACTGACAGCTAAATCCCATGATTTATTGGTCACTGTCACGCCCTGACTTATGGGACTCTAGTATGTTGAGTCAGGGTGTGGAGTTCTATGTTGTTATTTCTATGTTTACGTTCTAGGTGTTGTATTTCTATGTTTGGCCGGGTGTGATTCCCAATCAGAGACAGCTGTCGCTCGTTGTCTCTGATTGGGGATCATACTTAGGCAGCCTGTTGGCAATCATTGGGTTGTGGGATCTTGTTCCGTGTTAGAGGCTTGTATTGTGTTTAGCCTTCGGACTTCACGTTACGTTGTTTTGTTCGTGTGTTTATCGTTGTAATAAACATGTATGCTTTTCACGCTGCGCCATGGTCTGACCCGTCCTTAAACGAACGTGACAGTCACCCAGTTAGACCTGGAGTTTTAGAAGAAGCACGACTGAAGGTATAAAATAATTTGTTTAGCTTTTACATTGGGTACATTCTGTGAATCTGTAGTGCCCTTTGATTAATGTAAAGCCCAATCTAAACCCTTTACAATTGTCAGTTCCCACTCTCCAGGCTGCCATGCACTCACAGTTAGACGGGGTCCGTTCAGGCCTCAATCAGCTCCATAATGCCCTGGGGGACGTGAAGGACCTCCAGAACTCTCCGGTAGACGTCAGCAATGACTGGAAGCAAAGCATCAACACCATTGAGAACCCGAAGGATGTAAGATGTGCTCGGATACAACACCGTCAGCTTGCCTCAGCCGTGGAAAACCTTGAAGATTATATTTTCAGGTACGCTCAGTTGCAACATAAGGTGCCACTTGTTTGGGAACTATTAGTGTTGGCTTGCATTGTATTCGACGTGACGCTGTACGGTTACAATGTATTTTGTGTATTGATATTTCCCTTCCTGTGCAGTGCCTGAGATGGTGGCACACTCCGTTAATGATGGCGCAAGCTGATCAGCTGGAGCGCCTCCACAAGCTGATGAACCTAGAGTGCTCATACACGAGCAGCACACACGTGGGCAGCAAGAACGAGCACGGCAAGATCCTCATTCGGAAGCACTTTGGTGCAGGGTCTGTGTCGGACAACCTGGGCCAAGCAGCTGTGGATAACGCTGCAGCGCACCATGGGTAAAGTTGAGAGGTCACAGTGAGCACGCGCATCGAAGAACACTGGGGTGGCAGGTAGCTTAGTGGTTAAGAGCGTTGTGCCAGTAACCGAAAGGTCGCTGGTTCTAATCCCCGAGCCGACTAGGTGAAAAATCTGTCGACGTGCCCTTGAGCATCTGATAAATGACAAAAAAAAAACAAAAAAACACTCACAACAGATGTGGCCTGGTGACACTGGTGCAGTGCTCCGCTCCCCCCCCCCCCCCCCCCCCCCCCCCCACACACACACACACACACATTACAAAACCTTGACAGGTTCTTCACGCTCTACCACAACACTGTGTCCGTGAGGATGCTCCCTCCTCACGTTGGGTCCTCAATTAATACTAAGTACTGCCCACTCTGTGACTCATGTAGCACCCGTCCAATCATAGCTACCTTTCTATCATCGTAGGACGTAAACTAAATATATGGTCGCTGCTGCTGTCGTAAGTGGCAGCTTAGAAATATATACTTACCGGTCTTAAGGTTTTAGAACACCTAGTCATTCAAGGGTTTTTCTTTATTTTTTACTATTTTCTACATTGTAGAATAATAGTAAAGACATCACAACTATTAATTAACACATATGGAATCATGTAGTAAACAAAAAAAGTGTTAAACAAATCAAAATATATTCTTCAAAGTAGCCACCCTTTGCCTTGATGACACCATTGACACTTTGATGACACCTTTGCACACTCTTGGCATTCTCTCAACCAGCTTCACCTGGAATGCTTTTCCAACAGTCTTGAAGGAGTTCCCACATATCCTGAGCACTTGTTGTCTGCTTTTCCTTCACTCTGCGGTCCGACTCATCCCAAACCATCTCAATTTGGTTGAGGTCGGGGGGGATTGTGGAGGCCAGGTCATCTGATGCAGCGCTCCATCACTCTCCTTCTTGGTAAAATAGCCCTTACACAGCCTGGAGGTGTGTTGGGTCATCGTCCTGTTGAAAACCAAATGATGATGATGATAGTCCCCACTAACCAGATGGGATGGCGTATCAGGAGGGGAGTTCCATAGGCGTGGTGAGTGGGAGGGAAAGGTCCTGGTCCTGGGGTCATGGAGGAGTTCATATGGGGGAGAGTAGATCTGACAGGTAGGTGGGTCCGATGCCATTTAGGGATTTGTAGACCAGGAGGAGAATCTAATAGTCAATTCTTTGAGGAACAGGTAGCCAATGGAGATCAGCAAGGATGTGGGGAGGGGTGGCTTTTTTTGGTTTGAGTCAGAATCCTTGCAGCACTGTTTTGGATGAGCTGTAGTTTAGTTTAGTAATTTAATTTGCAGGCAGGCCCCCCCCCCCCCCCCCCCAAGTACTGCGTTCCCATAATCAATTTAGGAGGAAATGAATGAATGGATTCGCGGATATACCACGGATATGACAAAACATGTATTTTTAGTGCTCTAATTACATTGGTAACCAGTTTATAATAGCAAGAAGGACTAACCTGGAATGCTGTCTACCAGCACCATCAACTCTTCCTCTCCCTCGGTTTCCTCCTTCAGGACCTTCTGCCGACAGAGTTGTATTGCCGATAAAACACATGGTGAAAATACATTCAATAGATTGTTTAAAATACGTTGCCGTTTTATTGTGTGCAAAATGATGGGATATCAACACAATCCTGAACAGTGGGTCATCTGAATACTAGAAAAAGAAGAGGAGAGTTTTCACACTCTAGGAGCTCAGATGCAATAATCTGTTAACCTAATAACCAACGTCTTCATCAGGGTATAATCATCTGAATACTTAACTGATTTCCAGTTATAAGTTCCTGCTTTGCCCTGTCTCTGACTGCTTAATATATGAGGGCATCAGTGGCAACACCATGAGATGGTGCCATCTCTTTTGGGATCTTCCCAAACCTTCGTAGGTAAGACCACAGCCTCTCCATTTGTTCTCCGTCAACAAGCTCGCTACCAGTCACATAGCTGGTACCATCAGTGACCTGAAATGTAAAGTACAATCAGAAACCATAATGAGCATTACAATGGGTGATGACGATTAAATCAAATCAAATCAAATGTTATTTGTCACATACACGTGTTTAGCGGATGTTATAGCGGGTGTAGCGAAACGCTCGTGCTTCTAGCTCCTACAGTGCAGTAATATCTAACAAGTAATATCTAACAATTTCACAACATATACCCAATACACACAAAACTAGTAAGGAATGGGATTTAAGAATATATACATATATGGACAAGCTGTTTTTCATTCTCTCGGGGGCCCCAGTGTTGAGGATCAGTGAAGTGGAGATGTTGTTTTTCTACCTGATTAGTTAAGGAACGAGGACAGATTACAACTAGCTGTTTTTGAATACTCTTAAGGTAAACTGTCTGCAACTCTACAAAGAAGCAGTGTTTAACAGAAGAAATTATCAATATTTTTTAAAAATTAATTACCTGACAGTCAGCATCATGAGCAAAGGCATGAAAGGCCGGTGCTGTCATCAGATCGGGACTGTTTTTCTAAATGTCAAAACATTTCAGTGTAAAGAGCAGTTCGTTTGGGCATTTCTGTGTAAAACATTACTTCAAAGTGGGTATGGAGAAATCTGTATCAAGCCGTTCATAAAAACATATCAAGCAATTCATTAATGTCTAACTACCGGGTGGTTAAATATTCAATATATTATCTAACGTATCATTAAAGCTAACATAGATTGACGTATCAATTTTACCTGTAAATGAGGCTTGAGCTGGCAAGCATTGGCATAATGAAGAAATGCTGTGATGTTTAGTCCCTGCATTGCTTTCAGGTCAATGCTGGTCCCGGACAATCTTTTCGGCCGCAATCATTTGATGACCGTTTTCCTTTAAAACAATAATGCAAATAATGAAATAACACTTACTTCAACCTTTTTGCTCTGGGGGGGGGGCATAGGTCATTCACACTGTAGTTTTTCCCGTGAATGTATCTGTAATCGGTAGTATCCACTAAGCAGATGATTGGTCCACCTAGCTTCACCAAAGCCCCGTTAGCCGTTGTGTTTCCAGGTGGATCCAGGCAGGACTTCATGCTAACCGTAGCAGCCCAGGTGGAAAGACTTGGTCGAGGGTTTTTTGAGAGGCTTGCAGTGGTACGTAACGTTACGGTGGCAGGCCAGAGTTTGTGGCGGATCAGGGTGACAGCTCGCAGAACTGCAGCCAGACGTCATGAGCACTTCCTGAAATGAGAACATTCAATGTCTTAGATTGCATTGATGAACATTACATCCGATGTTGGTGAGACACATTAAACGTTTTTTGCATGTTTTCATCATAACAGTGAGTGAACAGGTTTACGTTAAACTAGATCAAATGAAATCAAAATCAAATTTGCAGGTATACAGCATAGTGTACACAATACAATGACACAACTAGAGTCAGGAGGTGGAGTCAGGGTTAATGTATTCAACAGTCTTATGGCTTGGAGGTGGAGTCAGGGTTAATCTATTCAACAGTCTTATGGCTTGGAGGTGGAGTCAGGGTTAATGTGTTCAACAGTTTATGCTGGGCAGATCAGGGTTAATCTACTCAACTCGTAAGAGGTGGAGTCAGGCTGCTACACTTGATCTCTATAAAGGAGACTTCACATGGTGTAACTGTCTCTAATGGTCTCTGGTGGGTACGCTTGACGCTCTATCAAGGAGACTGTCTTGAACATGGTGCTGCTACTGATGCTCTAACAGGAGAGTCTCTAACATGGTGGCAATTGAGCTAGAGACTGTCTCTGAACATGGTGCTGCTACACTTGATGCTAATAAGGAGACTGTCTCTGAACATGGTGCTGCTACACTTGACGCTCTAATAAAGGAGACTGTCTCTGAACATGGTGCTGCTACGCTTGACGCTCTAATAAAGGAGACTGTCTCTGAACATGGTGCTGCTACACTTGATGCTCTAATAAAGGAGACTGTCTCTGAACATGGTGCTGCTACACTTGATGCTCTAATAAAGGAGACTGTCTCTGAACATGGTGCTGCTACGCTTGATGCTCTAATAAAGGAGACTGTCTCTGAACATGGTGCTGCTACACTTGATGCTCTAATAAAGGAGACTGTCTCTGAACATGGTGCTGCTACACTTGATGCTCTAATAAAGGAGACTGTCTCTGAACATGGTGCTGCTACACTTGATGCTCTAATAAAGGAGGCTGTCTCTGAACATGGTGCTGCTACACTTGATGCTCTAATAAAGGAGACTGTCTCTGAACATGGTGCTGCTACACTTGATGCTCTAATAAAGGAGACTGTCTCTGAACATGGTGCTGCTACGCTTGATGCTCTAATAAAGGAGACTGTCTCTGAACATGGTGCTGCTACACTTGATGCTCTAATAAAGGAGACTGTCTCTGAACATGGTGCTGCTACACTTGATGCTCTAATAAAGGAGACTGTCACTGAACATGGTGCTGCTACACTTGATGCTCTAATAAAGGAGGCTGTCTCTGAACATGGTGCTGCTACACTTGATGCTCTAATAAAGGAGAATGTCTCTGAACATGGTGCTGCTACGCTTGATGCTCTAATAAAGGAGACTGTCTCTGAACATGGTGCTGCTACACTTGATGCTCTAATAAAGGAGACTGTCTCTGAACATGGTGCTGCTACACTTGATGCTCTAATAAAGGAGACTGTCTCTGAACATGGTGCTGCTACACTTGATGCTCTAATAAAGGAGACTGTCTCTGAACATGGTGCTGCTACACTTGATGCTCTAATAAAGGAGACTGTCTCTGAACATGGTGCTGCTACACTTGACGCTCTAATAAAGGAGACTGTCTCTGAACATGGTGCTGCTACACTTGATGCTCTAATAAAGGAGACTGTCTCTGAACATGGTGCTGCTACGCTTGATGCTCTAATAAAGGAGACTGTCTCTGAACATGGTGCTGCTACACTTGATGCTCTAATAAAGGAGACTGTCTCTGAACATGGTGCTGCTACACTTGATGCTCTAATAAAGGAGGCTGTCTCTGAACATGGTGCTGCTACACTTGATGCTCTAATAAAGGAGGCTGTCTCTGAACATGGTGCTGCTACACTTGATGCTCTAATAAAGGAGACTGTCTCTGAACATGGTGCTGCTACACTTGATGCTCTAATAAAGGAGACTGTCTCTGAACATGGTGCTGCTACGCTTGATGCTCTAATAAAGGAGACTGTCTCTGAACATGGTGCTGCTACACTTGATGCTCTAATAAAGGAGACTGTCTCTGAACATGGTGCTGCTACACTTGATGCTCTAATAAAGGAGACTGTCTCTGAACATGGTGCTGCTAGAGCTCTAATAAAGAGATGCTGAAGTGCTGCTACACTGATGCCTAATAAGGAGACTGTCTCTGAAACATGGTGCTGCTACACTTGATGCTCTAATAAAGGAGCAGGCATCATATGCTGCGTTCACATCATGTCCGGAACTCGTAAATACGACCTTCTTACTGGGAAAAATGCATGTGTATACCCAAACTCGTAATTACGACCAGGAAACTCGGGTATGATCTCTAGACCCCGATCTTTCCCATATGCTGAACTCTGACGTTACGCACCACTACAAATGGCAACAAACATGGCCGCGATTTCGGCTGTCGTTGGTGAGAATGGTTCTTGCATTCCTTCTGAACTCCGGGCAGTACAGTGCCTTGCAAAAGTATTCATCCCGCTTGCCATTTTTCCTATTTTGTTGCATTACAACCTGTAATTTAAATTGATTTTTATTTGGATTTCATGTAATGGACATACACAAAATAGTCCAAATTGGTGAAGTGAAATGAAGAAAATAACTAAAAAATTCTAAAAAATAAATAACGGAAAAGTGGTGCATGCATATGTATTCACCCCCTTTGCTATGAAGCCCCTAAATAAGATCTGGTGCAACCAATTACCTTCAGAAGTCACATAATTAGTTAAATAAAGTCCACCTGTGTGCAATCTAAGTGTCACATGATCTGTCACATGATCTCAGTATACACTACTGTTCAAACTTTTTTTTTGTCCATTAAAATAACATAAAATTGATCAGAAATACAGTGTAGACATTGTTAATGTTCTAAATGTCTATTGTAGCTGGAAACGGCTGATTTTTAATGGAATATCTTCATAGGCGTACAGAGGCCCATTATCAGCAACCATCAGTCCTGTGTTCCAATGGCACGTTGTGTTTGCTAATCCAAGTTTATCATTTTAAAAGGCTAATTGATCATTAGAAAACCCTTTTGCAATTATGTTAGCACAGCTGAAAACTGTTGTGCTGATTAAAGAAGCAATAAAACTGGCCTTCTTGAGACTAGTTGAGTATCTGGAGCATCAGCAATTGTGGGTTTGATTACAGGCTCAAAATGGCCAGAAACAAATAACTTTCTTCTAAAACTCATCAGTCTATTCTTGTTCTGAGAAATGAAGGCTATTCCATGCGAAACATTGCCAAGAAACTGAAGATCTCGTACAACGCTGTGTACTACTCCCTTCACAGAACAGCGCAAACTGGCTCTAACCAGAATAGAAAGAGGAGTGGGAGGCCCCAGTGCACAACTGAGCAAGAGGACAAATACATTAGAGTGTCTAGTTTGAGAAACAGATGCCTCACAGGTCCTCAACTGGCAGCTTCATTAAATAGTACCCGCAAAACACCAGTCTCAACGTCAACAGTGAAGAGGCGACTCGGGGATGCTGACCTTCTAGGCAGAGTTGCAAAGAAAAAGCCATATCTCAGACTGGCCAATAAAAAGAAAAGATTAAGATGGGCAGTCTGAGATATTACTTTTTCTTTGCAACTCTGCCTAGAAGGTCAGGATCCCGGAGTCGCCTCTTCACTGTTGACGTTGAGACTGATGTCTACACTGTACAATGTCTACACTGTATTTCGGATCAATTTGATGTTATTTTAATGGACCAATAAATTGCTTTTCTTTCGAAAACAAGGACATTTCTAAGTGACCCCACACTTTTGAACGGTAGTGTATATACACCTGTTCTGAAAGGCCACAGAGTCTAGCAGGCAGAATAAATATCAGCCTGTGCAGAGAAACACGAGATTGAACTTCACTCAACTTTCCAGTTTTCCCCTTTAGTTAACACTATCAACGTTTCCGTCTACTGTGCGAATTGTGATCGAATCAACGCAATTTTAGCCACTTTCAATGCAACACACCGAAACAAAACAAACTATGCAGGAGATTTGTTTGTAGGCAGAGCGCATTGGAGTAGGATTCTATTGCATTGACAGGTACGACTCAGGCCCATACTCTACTCAGACCGCTAACCAATAGGAGCTGCAGTAGGCCTATATGCAAATAGACCATTGCCATATATGGATCTGTGCCATTCACTTTGAACTGGACTGTGTTTACAGCAAGAGTGGTCAAAGGGTAGATGCGCTTGTTTTGAGACCAAAGCAGGGGCGCAACGTTGGTTTTAGAAGTGGGGGGGAAATAACCTTGTGGGGGGTCTGGGGGGATTTTATTGGGGCATCTAAGGCTAATTTCCTGCATTTCTACACAATCCGGTATGACCCATGACCCTTCTAGGCGTCTCTATTTAGAACAACAAAAAGTAAGCAAAAATGCCCCCAGTCATCATGCTAGGTAAGAGATCATTGTTAAATATGTTTAAGTGATTGATAAGACTGAACTAGATCAAAGGTCATTCAATCATCAATATTGTGTTGCACCTTTAACCAATAGCCTAACAAATCTAACAACTCTTTAAAAAATCAAGTACAAAGACTTTTGATTGACTTTATTAAGACATCCTTAACAAAGAGTTGGCAGTCTGTTATGTAATGTTTGGCCAATAATAAACTGGTCCTGAACATCTATAAAACTAAGAGCATTGTATTTGGTACAAATCATTCCCTAAGTTCTAGACCTCAGCTGAATCTGGTAATGAATGGTGTGGCTGTTGAACAAGTTGAGGAGACTAAATTACTTGGCGTTACCTTAGATTGTAAACTGTCATGGTCAAAACATATAGATTCAGTGGTTGTAAAGATGGGGAGAGGTCTGTCCGTAATAAAGAGATGCTCTGCTTTTTTGACACCACACTCCAAAAAGCAAGTTCTGCAGGCTCTAGTTTTGTCTAATCTTGATTATTGTCAAGTCGTGTGGTCCAGTGCTGCAAGGAAAGACCTAGTTAAGCTGCAGCTGGCCCAGAACAGAGCGGCACGTCTTGCTCTTCATTGTAATCAGAGGGCAGATATTAATACTATGCATGCCAGTCACTCTTGGCTAAGAGCTGAGGAGAGACTGACTGCATCACTTCTTCTTTTTATAAGAAACATTAATGTGTTGAAAATTCCAAATTGTTTGCATAGTCAACTTACACACAGCTCTGACTCACACACTTACCCCACCAGACATGCCACCAGGGGTCTTTTCACAGTCCCCAAATCCAGAACAAATTCATGAAAGCGTACAGTATTATATAGAGCCATTATTGCATGAAACTCTCTTCCATCTCATATTGCTCAAATAAACAGCAAACCTGGTTTCAAAAAACAAACAGATAAAGCAACACCTCACGGCACAATGCCTCTCCCCTATTTGACCCAGATAGTTTGTGTGTATGTATTGATATGTAGGCTACGTGTGCCATTTTTAAATGTATGTAGTTCTGTCCTTGAGCTGTTCTTGTCTATAAATGTTCTGTATTATGTCATGTTTTGTGTGTACCACAAATACATCCTCTATATCAAATTTCAGCCAGACCCCCACCAGTCTAGTCAATACCTCAACTCTCTCCCCGACCCCCACCAGTCCAGTCAATACCTCAACTCTCTCCCCGACCCCCACCAGTCTAGTCAATACCTCAACTCTCTCCCCGACCCCCACCAGTCCAGTCAATACCTCAACTCTCTCCCCGACCCCCACCAGTCTAGTCAATACCTCAACTCTCTCCCCGACCCCCACCAGTCTAGTCAATACCTCAACTCTCTCCCCGACCCCCACCAGTCTAGTCAATAACTCCACTCTCTCCCCGACCCCCACCAGTCTAGTCAATACCTCAACTCTCTCCTCGACCCCCACCAGTCTAGTCAATACCTCAACTCTCTCCTCGACCCCCACCAGTCCAGTCAATACCTCAACTCTCTCCTCGACCCCCACCAGTCCAGTCAATACCTCAACTCTCTCCCAAAACAATTTTTCCCCCACCTTTTTTCAATGTAAATAGTCCAGGTGGCCATTTGATTAATTGTTCAGCAGTCTTATGGCTTGGGGGTAGAAGCTGTTAAGGAGTCTTTTGGACCTAGACTTGGCGCTCCGCTTGCCGTGCGGTAGCAGAGAGAACAGTCTATGACTAGGGTGGCTGAATTTTTGGGGCCTTCCTCTGACTAGTATATAGAGGTCCTGGATGGCAGGAAGCTTGGCCCCAGTGATGTACTGGGCCGTACGCACTACCCTCTGTAGTGCCTTGCGGTCGGAGGCCGAGCAGTTGCCATACCAGGCGGTGATGCAACCAGTCAGGATGCTCTTGATGGTGTAGCTGTATAACTTTTTGAGGATCTGAGGACCCATGCCAAATCTTTTCAGTCTCCTTTGTCGTGCCCTCTTCACGACTGTCTTGGACATTAACACACATAAATCTTGTTCATACAACACCTCTCAATTTTCTCGCGTCAGCTGGTCCATTCCTGTGGCTCCAGCATGGCTCTATATCAGATCCCTTCCTGTGGCACTATCTTGGCTTTGTATCAGTTTTGTTTACTGCTGCTTTGTCCCCAAAAAAACAATCTGTTTAACAATTATTGTAAGAGGTAGTTATGTATTCTTGCTAAACAGTGAAATATTTCTAAATAAGCCCACACCAAGCCGCACAGTGAAGCTCAACCTTTAAAAGTGAATCATTTCTTGATGGTAACATCGGTGTTCCTATGAGAAGAAGAGCTTGGTGAGATCTTGTGATAAAGACATCACAAATCTCTAATCTGTAATCCAACTACTTTTCTACACCAGGGGGCATCAGTGAGCTGTAGCAGATCACTGATAAAGCCTTTATTTCATAGACCTGCCACTGGCATACAGGTTAAGAAATCCACCTCTAACAGGTACCACCATAACATGTGTAGACATTTCACTAATGATTTGTTTGAATGGCTCATGTTTCTCATGGTGAATCTCCATATCTGTATTGTATTGCATGTAGATTGTGTCCATATTCTTCCTATGTCGGCACCATTTCACCAGGTCAAATTCTTGGTCCATGTAAGTGTGCTTGGCGAATAAAGGCGATTCTGATTCCAGCTGCAGGGCATGGAGCAAGAGTTGTTTCGGTCCTCCCTCGTCCTAACCGTGTCCACCAAGCTGCGTCTGTACCGCAGAGACCTGGCGAAGCGCTCTGACCTGTCCTCCATTCCACCCCGGGCCAGCAGGGGGCGCCTACAGGATCATCTCCTCTCAGAACGAACACAGTGTGAGTCTAGACTCACTTACATTTGGTGTAGGGGGAGGTTGCGCCTAGACGCTGATCTGGGGTCAGTTTTGCACTTCCTCCACTAATGGTGAAGGTTAGGATTGGGGAAGGGGAACCTGATCCTAGATCTGTACCAAGGAGGAACTTCACGCTGGAGCTACTTAGACTCAATGAGCCGTGTTCTTCAGGACAGGTGTTTATCTTGGACTCAATGAGCCGTGTTCTTCAGGACAGGTGTTTATCTTGGACTCAATGAGCCGTGTTCTTCAGGACAGGTGTTTATCTTGGACTCAATGAGCCGTGTTCTTCAGGACAGGTGTTTATCTTGGACTCAATGAGCCGTGTTCTTCAGGACAGGTGTTTATCTTGGACTCAATGAGCCGTGTTCTTCAGGACAGGTGTTTATCTTGGACTAAATGAGCCGTGTTTCAATCCAGGATGTGTGGACCAAACCAAACCGAGAGACATTGGACGTTATATACTGACCTATTATTGCCATTGTCTTTCTGATCCAGGAGTGAACTGCAAAGGTTTTGCCCTGCGGACCTTATTCACGGAGGAGTGTCAGGAGTCATGCTACAGCAGTCAGTGAAGATGGATGGTTGTCTGTGTGTCTCAGAACGGAGCATTAAGACTTACTGGTTCCAAATGAATCCCTTTACCCTTAACCTGTACTCCTTATGTTTCTACTAACCTCGAGGCCTGAGCAGTTGAACAATAAGGGTTTATCAATACTAATTTTGGGAAGCAAAACCACTCATAAAAATATGCATTCTCAATAAATTAAATCACTATACTTTGACATGTTCTAACAATAACATAAAAGTTAAAGTAATTAATGATATAAAAGTGATTTCTAAATGTATTTGTTGTGTTGTATTTTATCTTTGGTAATGCCTCTGTGACCAAAGTTAAAAGGAGAAGGGTGTTGGGACAGAAATACTGATCAAAACAAACGTTGTTTTGAGACTCTGCTTTCAAAGTCCAAAATCCAACTAGCATGTGTGTCACACCCTGGCTCTGGGACTCATTATGTTGAGCCAGGGTGTGTTCATTTCTATGTGTGTATTTCTATGTTGGTGTTCATTCTAGTTTGTTGTATTCTATGTTTGCCTGAGTGACTCCCAATCAGAGGCAACGAGTGTCAGCTGTTGGCTGGTTGTCTCTGATTGGGAGCCATATTTTGTGGTTGTGGGTTTTTGTTCCGTGTTCGGTCATTGATACCGTGGACGTCACGAGTCGTGTTTTGTTTTGTATTTTGACGCTTTAACTAATTAAAGTCATGTTTGTTCATCACGCTGCGCCTTGGTCTACTCCTTACCTCGACCTTGACAGAAAAACCCACCATGCAACGACCAAGCAGCGTGTCCAGGGGCAGCCCTTGGGGTGGACATGGGAGGAAGCGCCGGGAAAGGCCCTGGCGAAAGAGGAGCAGCGTGTCCAGGAGCAGGCAGCCTGGACATGGGAGGAGATATTGGACGGTAAAGGGTCCTGGACTTGGGGGGAAATCCTGGCCGGGATGGATCGCCGGCCATGGAGTGAGACAGTGGAGAGGCGACGGAGAGAGGAGCAACGGCGTGATCAGGGTCGTCGTCGGACGGTCGTGAGGCAACCCCAGAAAATTTTTAGGGGGGGGCACACGGCATGGACGACGGGGCTGACGGAGGGGAAAAGGGGGCGGATCCAGAAGGCCACCAGGCCAGGGGTTCACCGCCCTGTACGTCCTGTGCGGATGCCTCACACAGAGTGTGTGAGGGTAGGCATTCAGCCAGGACGGGTGGGTGTGGCGCTCTCTTCACTTCCAGGCCTCCTAATCCGGCTCCAACAGGCCCGGTTCGCATGTCCCTGCTCCGACTCACCAAGCCTACGGTGTGCTCGCCAGCCCAATCCCGGCCTGTTCTCTGCTCCACGCACCAAGCCTACGGTTTGCTCGACACCCAGCCCGGCCTGTCCCTGCTCCACGCACCAAGCCTACGGTGTGCGTCGACACCCAGCCCGGCCTGTCCCTGCTCCACGCACCAAGCCTACGGTGTGCGTCGACAGCCCATCCACTTTCCTGTCCCTGCTCCACCACCAAGCCTACGGTGTGCGTCGACAGCCCAGCCCGGCCTGTCCTGCTCCAGAAAACCACGGCAGCGGTCCCAAGTACGGTGTGGTCACGCAATATGCGCCCAGCCGGCCTGTTCCTCCACGCACAAACCTACGGTGCGCGTCGCAGCCTGCCCGGCCTGTCCCTGCTCCACGCACTAAACCTACGGTGCGCGTCGCCAGCCCGGTCCGGCCTGTTCCTGCCACCCGCACCAAGTCTACGGTGCGCGTCGCCAGCCCGACCCGGCCTGTTCCTGCCACTCGCACCAAACCTACGGTGCGCGTCGCCAGCCCGGTCCGGCCTGTTCCTGCCACTCGCACTAAGCCAGGGGTGCGAGAAGTCAGCCTGGTAAGGCCCGTCCCTCTTCCACGCACCAAGCCAGGGGTGCGAGTCGTCAGCCTGGTAAGGCCCGTTCCTCCTCCACGCACCAAGCCAGGGGTGCGAGTCGACAGCCTGGTAAGGATCGCTCCTGTTAAGTCCAGTCCTGCTCCAGCCGGCGGGGCCAGACTGGACCAGGGGCACTATGGGGGGTGTATTGGAGGGTGGTGGTCAAGGCCGGAGCCAGAACCGCCGCCGAGGAGGTATGCCCGCCCAGCCCTCCCCTGGTTTGTTTTGTTGAGGCGCGGTCGCAGTCCGCGCCTTTAGGGGGGGGGTACTGTCACACCCTGGCTCTGGGACTCATTATGTTGAGCCAGGGTGTGTTCATTTCCATGTGTGTATTTCTATGTTGGTGTTCATTCTAGTTTGTTGTATTCTATGTTTGCCTGAGTGACTCCCAATCAGAGGCAACGAGTGTCAGCTGTTGGCTGGTTGTCTCTGATTGGGAGCCATATTTTGTGGTTGTGGGTTTTTGTTCCGTGTTCGGTCATTGATACCGTGGACGTCACGAGTCGTGTTTTGTTTTGTATTTTGACGCTTTAACTAATTAAAGTCATGTTTGTTCATCACGCTGCGCCTTGGTCTACTCCTTACCTCGACCTTGACAATGTGTCAAAATGAAGGAGCGTTTTAAACATGAACGTGTGATTGAAGTCATGTTTCATTATTGAAAATATCTAAATGTAGTTTAAAAGCTAACACTGTCTGATAGACAGTCCACTAAAGTTTATCACAGGGCTATCAGGGGCTAGGTACAGGTGTAGGGATTACACATTGGACAGAGGACAGAGGACACAGGTGTAGGGATTACACATTGGACAGAGGACAGAGGACAGAGGTGTAGGGATTACACACTGGACAGAGGACAGAGGACAGAGGCACAGGTGTAGGGATTACACATTGGACAGAGGACACAGGTGTAGGGATTACACACTGGACAGAGGACAGAGGACAGAGGCACAGGTGTAGGGATTACACATTGGACAGAGGACACAGGTGTAGGGATTACACATTGGACAGAGGACAGAGGACAGAGGCACAGGTGTAGGGATTACACATTGGACAGAGGACAGAGGACAGAGGACACAGGTGTAGGGATTACACATTGGACAGAGGACAGAGGACAGAGGACACAGGTGTAGGGATTACACATTGGACAGAGGACAGAGGACACAGGTGTAGGGATTACACATTGGACAGAGGACAGAGGACAGGTGTAGGGATTACACATTGGACAGAGGACAGAGGACACAGGTGTAGGGATTACACATTGGACAGAGGACAGAGGACACAGATGTAGGGATTACACATTGGACAGAGGACAGAGGACAGAGGACACAGGTGTAGGGATTACACATTGGACAGAGGACAGAGGACAGAGGACACAGATGTAGGGATTACACATTGGACAAAGGACAGAGGACACAGGTGTAGGGATTACACATTGGACAGAGGACAGAGGACACAGATGTAGGGATTACACATTGGACAGAGGACAGAGGACAGAGGACACAGGTGTAGGGATTACACATTGGACAGAGGACAGAGGACACAGGTGTAGGGATTACACATTGGACAGAGGACAGAGGACAGAGGACACAGGTGTAGGGATTACACATTGGACAGAGGACAGAGGACAGAGGACACAGATGTAGGGATTACACATTGGACAGAGGACAGAGGACACAGGTGTAGGGATTACACATTGGACAGAGGACAGAGGACACAGGTGTAGGGATTACACATTGGACAGAGGACAAAGGACACGGGTGTAGGGATTACACATTGGACAGAGGACAGAGGACACAGGTGTAGGGATTACACATTGGACAGAGGACAGAGGACACAGGTGTAGGATTACACATTGACAGAGACGAGGCACAGTGTAGGGATACACATTGGACAGAGGACAGAAGGACACAGGTGTAGGGATTACACATTGGACAGAGGACAGAGGACACAGGTGTAGGGATTACACATTGGACAGAGGACAGAGGACACAGGTGTAGGGATTACACATTGGACAGAGGACAGAGGACAGAGGACACAGGTGTAGGGATTACACATTGGACAGAGGACAGAGGACAGAGGACACAGGTGTAGGGATTACACATTGGACAGAGGACAGAGGACACAGGTGTAGGGATTACACATTGGACAGAGGACAGAGGACACAGGTGTAGGGATTACACATTGGACAGAGGACAGAGGACACAGGTGTAGGGATTACACATTGGACAGAGGACAAGGACACAGGTGTAGGGATTACACATTGGACAAGACGAGGACAGAGGACACAGGTGTAGGGATTACACATTGGACAGAGGACAGAGGACACAGGTGTAGGGATTACACATTGGACAGAGGACAAGGACACAGGTGTAGGGATTACACATTGGACAGGACAAGGACAGAGGACACAGGTGTAGGGATTACACATTGGACAGAGGACAGAGGACAGAGGACACAGATGTAGGGATTACACATTGGACAGAGGACAGAGGACACAGGTGTAGGGATTACACATTGGACAGAGGACAGAGGACACGGTGTAGGGATTACACATTGGACAGAGGACAGAGGACACAGGTGTAGGGATTACACATTGGACAGAGGACAGAGGACAGAGGACACAGGTGTAGGGATTACACATTGGACAGAGGACAAAGGACACGGGTGTAGGGATTACACATTGGACAGAGGACAGAGGACACAGGTGTAGGGATTACACATTGGACAGAGGACAGAGGACAGAGGACACAGGTGTAGGGATTACACACTGGACAGAGGACAGAGGACAGAGGACAGACACATGTGTAGGGATTACACACTGAAACAGGGACACAGGTGCTCACCTCACAATAAAATAATCGTATGGTGATTACAAATACGACAGGGTGTGGTTAACTTCCATGTAAATGGACAATAAAGTAATTGTATTGCGCCGAGTAGTGATGGAAACAGAACAGGGACACAGTGTAGTGCAGATAACGGCACGTTGTGTTGTGAACAACACCTGCCACTATCCAATGACTTCCCACAGGTGGCTGATCCGCTATTAGTCTCATACTCGGTCCCGCCAGGGGAGAGTTTTTTCCATTCAGCATCACTCCCAGGGGGATATAGTGTTCTTCATAACAAAGATACAGCGGGTCTGAAACTGACTCCCTTGATAAAGACGAGTATCAAATAAATTATTTAAATTCTGAGCTATATTGTATGCTCAAAACATTACATTGTTTTAGTTGCTCGGATAAATATATTTGGTTTAGGGGAGAGTGGGGTAAGTTAAGCCACCCTTGTCTCTAGGAAACCAAAATATCTAGGAAGAGGTCATCATTTCATGGAGTCTGTGAATGTGAAGAAACCACATGGAAAAAAGTGGTAAGAAAATTCAAATGAATGTATTGCGTTAGAGGTTTCATGGTGCTTGTATCTAAACCAAAATAGATACTTTTAAGATTGTTCTATACATCAGTGTCACGATCGTTGCAGGAAGCGGACCAAGGCGCAGCGTGACAGGCGTACATACTTTTATTGCAGTACACACGAACCAAAACAAACGATACGTGAAGTCCTAGGTTAAACACCAAAACAAACCTTAACGGAACAAGATCCCACAAATAACTAGTGCCAACAGGCTGCCTAAGTATGGTTCCCCAATCAGAGACAACGAGAATCAGCTGCCTCTGATTGGGAACCACCCTGGCCAAACATAGAAAACACGAACTAGAACAAAAACATAGAAACTACAACATAGACACTACACACCCTGGCTCAACTTTTAAGATTCCCCAGAGCCGGGGCGTGACAATCAGTTGGGGGTCTCTGTAAGCTTCAATATGAGGTCCTAAACCTAGTGTCGTGTATGAAGATTATGACTATTCTAGAAGAACAAAGAAAATATGTTTATCTTAGTTCAAAAGTAGCCAGTTGTAGGGTGACGCCCCAGGGGGGATAGGTGATTGGACAGCAGAGGGAGCAACACATATTTTTACATTGTTTATAAGTATATGCTGGAGGAAGGAGAGGTTAGAGCAGCCATTACAATTCGAGGACACTGCTCTCCGGGTGTCATGGCACCTGTAACTCATGCTGAAAGCTTGTGATATGAATAAACTTATGATCAAAGGTTCAGTATGAGCGTACTCCTTTGTTTGACAGCAATGAGCACCAGCATTCGACGCGATACGACACTAGCATGAAAGTGCATCCTTGTAGCTGTGTGGGAGGATATGGTCAAAACGTTGAGCTAATTGAAGTGTTTCTTCCCAGGCGTTATATCTCTGGGATATGAGGTAACAACCAGACCTAGCCTATGTTAAGTGTTTACAAATGTACAAAGTGTTTGTTAGTTGTTAAGCTTGTGTTAAAAATACGCTTATAATGATTAAAAGACAAAGAAGTGATTGTGTTGAATTGTGTTTGGAAAATAAAGATGGGATATGGTTTTTAAAAAGGTAGTGGTAATATTTAATTCAGTACAGAAATGTGTAGGCGGCTTAACCTCCCCTGTCCCGCGGCTCAGCTTACCCCATACCCGGTGTAAGTTGTGCCAAGAGACCATTTTTTTTGGGACAAGATATGTTTTCAAAACTGATGTTAAGATGAATTCTGATTTCCAGGGACACACAACAGCCTGAAATATACAGTGCCTTCAGAAAGTATTCACACCCCTTGAGTTTTTCCACATTTTGTTGTTACATCCTGAATCTAACGTGGATTAAATGTAGATTTATTTAGTCACTGGCCTACAAATAATACCCCATAACGTCAAAGTGGAATTATGTTTTTCTAAATGTTTACAAAAAAAGCTGAAATGTTTTGAGTCGATAAGTATGTTATGGCAAGCCTAAATAAGTTCAGAAGTAAAAATGTGCTCAACAAGTCAAAGAAGTCGCATGGACTCTGTGTGCAATAATAGTGTTTAACATGATTTTTGAATGACTACCTCATCTCTGTACCCCACGCATACAATTATCTGTAAGGTCCCTCAGTCGAGCAGTGAATTTCAAACATAGATTCAACCACAAAGACCAGGGAGGTTTTCCAATGCCTCGCTCCTATTGGTAGATGGGTAAAAAAAAGAAGCATTATTCCTCCTCCACCAAACTTTACAGTTGGCACTACGCATTGGGGCAGGTAGCGTTTCTCCTGGCAGCCGCCAAACCCAGATTTGTCCGTCGGACTGGTGATCTTAGGCTTGTGTGCAGCTGTTTGGCCATGGAAACACATTTCATGAAGCTCCCGACGAACAGTTCTTGTGCTGACGTTGCTTGATGCCATTCCACCTATTCCGCTCCAGCCATTACCACGAGCCCGTTCTCCCCAATTAAGGTGCCACCAACCTCCTCTGGAGGAGAATCGCAGTTGCATTTCCTTGATTTCTCGCTTCCTCTCTCCTCGCCTCCTTCTCAAAACCCATTGGATGAGAAGGTCAGTAGGGGAGGAACCTCTGACTTTCTCATCCAATGGGTTTTGAAGAGGAGGCAAGGATTTTACCAATGGTCTTCTCTCGATTCCTTGTGTCCTTTACTTGAATCCTCTCCTTGCTTCCTACTGAAGTTTTGAGAGAGTGGCGGGGTGTCACGATCGTCGATAGATGAAGCGGACCAAGGTGATAACCGTACATCTTTTATTGAAGTACACACACACGAACAAAACAACAAACCAAACGATACGTGAAGTCCTAGGTTAACACCAAAACAAACCTTATGGAACAAGATCCCACATTAAACTAGTGCAAAACAGGCTACCTAAGTATGGTCCCCAATCAGAGACAACGAGCTACAGCTGCCTCTGATTGGGAACCACCCTGGCCAACATAGATCTAAACGATTTAGAACGAAAACATGGAACAACTAAACATAGGAAAATCCACACCCTGGCTCAACATTTAAGAGTCCCCAGAGCCAGGGCGTGACACGGGGAGAGCACGGGAGGAAAGAATATAGTGACATCCCTTAAGAGTATGTGATTATTCCAGAACATACCGTGCCTGGTAGCCTCATGAAACCAGTCTGGGCACTTTGTTCCCGTTTCGTTTCACTTCACTTGTGATATGTGAAGTGAAACATGAATGTGAGCTGGCGAGAGATCTGTCTGGTTAAATGAGGCGCTAGGTGCAGGCAGACGGCCCTGATTCGAGGTATACACAGTGTTCCCAGATAGGGAGGAAGCTTTACCAAAGATGGTTAAATGAAGAGTTCTTACGCCATTTACGCATTGAAAAAAAAAAACGGTCAGAGTTTGGATCTGCTTAGTTCATTGACTGTATACAGTATGAACGAGAGAAAAGGAGAGTGAGATGTCTTGCTTTCTCTAAGGCACACTTTGGCCCACTTCCTACTGAGGTTTTGAGCGTGATGGAGGCAGGGAGAGGACAGGACCAAAGACCATGAAGACAGAGAGAGAGAGAGAGAGAGAGAGAGAGGCATGGCTGAGAATGTTAGTATGTGGAAGTAACCCTAAACCTTATTCTGTTCGATAAGCTGAAGGTAGAGGCAGTACATACTGAACTCTCCATATTTCTCTGCCAGTCGTAAGCCACACGTCTCCATGGAGACTAATAAGAAACACAGACTGATGTCATTGTGGAAGACTAAAATGACTTTATTTAAAAGACAGATTCAGTGGTCACGTCAAAAGGCATGTTTTTACATTTAGTAAATCAAATAATATTATTTCACTCTTTCCCATATATCCTTTACAGACACTCATTTTAAATTATAGAAATGTACTTGAGAAAAGCGTTACCTAGTCATTTAATACTGACTAATGTAAAACCAGACAGTAAATACATAAACATGGATTAACAATAGTGATTATTTGATGTAAAACTACAAAACATATAATACTTCTAAATAAAATGCGTCAAAACCACATCTGGTCCAAAAGTGCAAACGCTTCACTTCGACAACTCAACTGGCACAGCCACTTCATATTGAGCGGAGGTATTTGTGTCCAAACCACACTATGGACACATTAGTAAAATAATATTAATAATAATAATATTAATAACAGTCTGCACCTAAAGTAGATTGAGGCAGTTTCATGCTCGTCGTCGTGTGAACCCAGCTTCATACAACCCAATTACAGAGCTGCAGTGATTATGTCTATGGCATACCACTGATCACCGTGTCTATGGCATACCACTGATCACCTGTCTGTGGGCATACCACTGATCCGTGTCTATGCTACCACTGATCATCACCAAGTGTCTCTGGCATACCACTGATCACCGTGTCTTATGCATACCACTGAGCACCGTGTCTGAGGCATACCACTGATCACCGTGTCTATGGCATACCACTGATCACCGGTGTCCTTTGCATACCACTGATCACCGTGTCTATGGCATATACCGACTGATCCCGTGTCTTGGCAATCCCACTCGATCACCGTGTCTATGGCATACCACTGATCACAGTGTCCTATGGCATCCACTGATCACCGTGTCTGTGGCATACCACTGATCACCGTGTCTGTGGCTACCTCGATCACGTTGTCTTTGCACTACCACTGTCACCGGTGTCTAGCATACCACTGATCACCGTGTCTATGGCATACCACTGATCACCGTGTCTATGGCATACCACTGATCACCGTGTCTATGGCATACCACTGATCACCGTGTCTATGGCATACCACTGATCACTGTGTCTGTGGCAATACCACTGATCACATCAAATAGTCAACATTTAAATAGGGTGGCTGTATTTTCAAGGCCAGGGAGACCAGCTGATCACATCAATTACAATTAACATTTTAGATGAGAGCTTTTTATAGCCTGGTTACCAGTCTGTTTGAGCGACTTTTTTTTTTGTGCGACTCCTTGTCCTGCCAAACAGATGACATGATAGCACAGATCTGGGCTAAGCTTTTCACGTCATCTTAGTAAATAAGCTATATAAGCCTTTAACTTGGCTTATTATTTATTATAAGTTCAGTCATGATTTAAGTTTGACTGACTGTTGCCATACAGTCCCATACACAACAGAAGATGTAACAAAAAGCTCTGAAACCATTCCAACTACTGCTTCAGTGTGTCTGTTCTGTATGTAAAGTCTTTTAGAATTCAGGAATGCCAAGTGGTCATATGTTGAAAGTCCTTAGTGTTCTAGAAGCAGTGTGTTCTAGAGTCGGAGCTGTTCCGTGTCCTCTTTAAGCGTTTGCGACTCCTGAGCGATGGGGCCTCCCTCGCGGGTCTGGCCCAGGGACGACGCGATGACGTCCACCGCCATGGAAGCTGTGATCTCCACCGCCTCACGGCTCGCCCCCAGGGATGGGTTGACCTCAACAAGGTCCATCACTGACAACAAGCCTGGAGATTAAAAAACAAACACCATTTATTAGTTTCAGTTCCTTTTGTGGAACGTTGCAGACAGAAATTTTACTTCAAAGATAGAAACTGTATGTCAAAGAATGTTTCAGATTGAAATGTTACTTCATAGAAATGTTTTATATTCCCATGGTACCATAAAGTATAAGTATATCCACTATTGTCATCCTACCAAGAGTCTGCCATAACTTAGAGGAAAGGGTTCCAAGTTTAATGACAGACCCTTCCTCATCATTTCTTATGAATGTATTGTTATTTTTTAAAAATTTTATATATTTTTTTAGTCATTTAGCAGACGCTTATCCAGAGCGACTTACAGTTAGTGAGTGCATACATTCATTTTTTATACTGGCCCCCCACGGGAATCGAATCCACAACCCTGGCGTTGCAAACACCATGCTCTACCAACTGAGCTACATCCGTGCCGGCCATTCCCTCCCCTACCCTGGACGACGCTGGGCCAATTGTGCGCCGCCCCATGGGTCTCCCGGTCGTGGCCGGCTACGACAGAGCCTGGATTCGAACCAGCTAGCACTGCGATGCAGTGCCTTAGACCACTGCGCCACTCGGGAGACATTGTTATAGTGTGTTCGGAGTTGATCATTATCCATGTATTTCAGTGTCTATGACTGCCATGTGAATACTATAAAAAACTTGAAATGTAATAAAATGATAATTCCCTCCTCTCTTCTCGTAGTCTCTGTGACCCCACTTCTCAAAACATCATAATTATTGCATGCCCTAACATACCTGTGTTGTGGATCTCCTCTGTGATCCAGATTCCTTCTCTGTAAGTCAGACCCCCGTTCACTGGTGTTCCTGTTGCTGGGGCCAGAGACGGGTCCATCGCATCGATGTCAAAACTCAGATGGATCGGCCGCTGCTTCCTGTTGGACAAAAGAAGCAAAAACGGGTTCAGAATACAGTTCAGCGAATCAATCAACTTTCAACTCAAATTCAACTGTCAACTGGACACATCTAAACGGTCAACTGAACACATCCAAACGGTCAACTGGATACATCCAAATTGTCAACTGGATACATCCAAACTGTCAACTGGATACATCCAAACTGTCAACCGAATACATCCAAACTGTCAACCGAATACATCCAAACTGTCAACCGAATACATCCAAACTGTCAACCGAATACATCCAAACTGTCAACCGAATACATCCAAACTGTCAACCGAATACATCCAAACTGTCAACCGAATACATCCAAACTGTCAACCGAATACATCCAAACTGTCAACCGAATACATCCAAACTGTCAAAAACCTGAATACATCCAACTGTCAACCGAATACATCCAAACTGTCAACTGAATGGGGGGGGGGTTTCCAAGGAAAGTAGCGGGGGCTCCAAGGAAAAAAGGTTGGGAACCACTGGTGTAGAGTAATTAAATTACCTTGACAAGAGGTGGTCGAAAGTGACCTCCATGACTCTCTGGATGCCGAGCCTGTCGATGTCTCTCATTGTGAAGTACTGGACACCCAAGTCCTTCAGGATGTCGCTGTGAGGAGAAAGGAGAGAAGAATGTCATTAGTATCATGTCTGGAAGTATATTTGGATGTAACGGGTGTAATTTTGGGTACCAAAAAAAAAAGAAAAAATGTAATGTAAGTGTATACTACTACTACTACACTATTACTATAACTATACTACTATAACTATACTACTATACTACTATTACTATAACTATACTACTATTACTACTACTCCTACTACTACAACTATACTACTACTATACTACTACTATACTACTACTATACCACTACTATACTACAACTATACTACTACTATACTACAACTATACTACTACTATACTAATACTATACTACTACTATACTACTACTATACTACTACTTAACTGTGTTATAATCCAGATTAGTGTACTTGGTAGTGTACAGAGAAGTGTACTTACTACTCTCCGGGGTCTATGTCTCTCAGGCCGATGTAGACCAGGTCTTTAGCTGACAGGAAGGGCTTCATCCAGCTGAACCCTGGGAGCTCCGGCATCTTTCAGACAACAAGAGGTGAGTGTGAGGTCAGAGGGGTTTTACTGTGCTAAAGTGTAGAGCCTTGTTGTAGTGTAGAATATAGCCTGTTCTCAGAACATGGCATGCCAATGGCCATAGGAGTTGGTTATACGGCACAAACAGACATGGCTGTAGACTCCTATGGTATCTAAAAGATAACAGTCATGTCTCAGGGGAAGAACCGGGCCGGTGAGAACGCCCCGAGGCCTCTGTTCTCTTACCTTGTTCTGCAGTTCTTTGAGCATGAAGGCGACCGACTGTCCGTGGAGGTTGCCTGAGGGAGAGGTGAGGGGCGTGTTTATGTCAGCGTGGGCGTCGACCCAGATCAGACACAGGTCAGGACACTGCTGGGCGTGGCCTGCCGCTGAACCAATGGCCAGGCTGCGAGGGGAGAGATCAGGAAGTGAGTTGGAATCCAATCACCATTATTCCCCCCTAGGGAACACTGACTATATGTGTCACTATCATAAAGAAACTGGTTACCCAGTCCACTGATAAGCTTACTCTCGCTATGTCTAGGGTCCTAAGCCTGCATAATGCTTCATTTCCTAACACTGTCAATGTTGACAGTCCTATAAGTCGCTGTTGCTAAAATAACCATACGGTGTTCTCTGAGAACATGAAGGTGTTGTTGTGGTGTGTACCTGTGGTCTCCTCCCAGCATGATGGTAGTGTGTCCGGCTCCCACAGCGTTGCTGACGGCCCCTGACAGCAGTTTGTTAGCTCTGCCCACAGTGCGAGGGAAGGGGACGTGCATGTAGGGATCGTCCTTCTCCAGATGCTGGAAGCTCAGGTCTCCAAAGTCATGCACTGGGTAATCTGCATGAGAAAATGAAAAGGTATTGTTTAGATTCATTATTGTTTAAAATCAAAAACACTGGATTAATTTAACAGCAAATGGTATGGATGAATTGTTGGAGTATTTTTGTTAATGGCTAAGTGCATGACTACTGGTTTCCTGACACCTAGAAGTACTGTCGCCCCAGATCCAGAAATGGCCTTGGCTTTTCTGGGTTTGTGGGATGGACGGTGCTTCGTGAGCTTGTTGTGTTACGGTGCGTGAGAAGGGACGCGAGTTTGTGTCCTGGAACGGTCGTGGGAGAATTTCCACTGTCACATTAAGTGTTAGGCTATATATCTTTGAGGCATTAGGTCAACTCTTTCTCCAGGCTCTGATGTCCAACCCCCAGCTGCCCTGGCTCTCTACACACACCCCTCTCATGTAATCTCTGATGTCCAACCCCCTGCTGCCCTGGCTCTCTTCACACACCCCTCTCCTATCATTTCTGATTGACGAGGCGGAGTAATTCAAGCTGTCTCTGGAACTGCTGTCTGACTGGGCACTACTTTCCACGTGTCCTATTTCCTATGTGTGCCCTCTCAGGTTTCTCCAAGACCAGATCACGCCCCTGCTACCACTGCTACGGTGGCGGTGGAGGAAACACAGAGGAATTCGGTGGAAATTGGGTTGCAATGCACCCAAACTACTAGTATTGGCACTTGGGACTAATGACTTATGAGTTGAAGTAAACAAGAGATTTGAAACGCCATCTGCGGGTGACAATATTCCACTGGATGGGGGGGGTGTAGAGTTACTCTGCTGACCGTTACGTCTAAGACACCCCCCCATGTTACCATCTTAGACCGCTGGACAGGAATAGCTGAACCAAGTACTCGGTGCATCTCTGTTAATGCAATCATGATCTAATACAGTGTGTATTTAAACTTGATGCAATGTCAGTGACATTTAATGCAGTCCATCTTGGCAAGTGCACAATGACTGATCATCTCAGTCTCCTTGCTATTAAGGAGGATACCATTTTCTGTCTCCCTGTTGCCAAATTGGCATCAGAAAAAGTTATTTACTTTTCATACTTTTGTTATTAATAAAATTTCCCATCTCTGCAGTTTGAAGTCCACTTTTACAAACAACTAAAATAGCACCATATAGCATATCAAGTGAATGTGATTGTACAAACAACTGAAATAGCACCATATAGCATATCAAGTGAATGGGATTTTACAGAGATCAACAAAAGTCACATCAACAGGGCAAATGCTTGGACACAGCAGGAGATGAACCAAGCATTGGTCTCCAAGCTCTCGATAGACCGAAGGCCTTTACTTAAGGATGAGTAAAGCTGGAACATTTTGTTCCCAATGAGCTGCAAATTACAATAGAGGTCACAAATACTTTTATATGATCCCAGACTACTGGGGCGGCAGGTAGCTTAGTGGTTAAAAGCGTTGTGCCAGTAACCGAAATGTCGCTGGTTCTAATCCCCGAGCCGACTAGGTGAAAAATCTGTCGATGTGCCCTTGAGCAAGGCACTTAACCCTAATTGCTCACGTAAGTCGCTCTGGATGAGAGCGTCTGCTAAAATGACTAAAAATGTTTTTTAAAATGGTACATCTATAACTAGAATAAATGTGCTTACATGCCATAGTGTAATTATAAAATTATGGGGTTTCTTAAAGACTATGGGGTTTGATGTCTTGCTAAAAGTATGTCAGTGGTCCACATCCGACAACGGGGGAAAAAAACGCCATCTAAAGATATGCTTCTCATATTACACCGCAGGCCGGCCCCGGGAACGGTTGATTGCGTAACTGCCAAAAAAAAAGCACCTTGCCTTGCCATGAGTACACGCTGTTGATCTGTCCCACTGCTGAGTGCTCAGGGAGGAGACGGGGCTAAGATTACAGGAAATGACTTGCACATTCCAGAACTGAACATGGGGATCTCTACACTGGAACATTTGTGTGTCTCACCTGAACTTTTACACTCGACTAGATGTAGGCTTGCTGCACTTCATTCTGATGTGTTTTTGTGTGCTGAGGACTAGCCATTCTCTGGGACATCCCAGTCCTCATTATTTATGACCTGATAATAATCCATTGGTTTAGAAGTGGAACCATCTTGTCTGACGAAATGAATGCGCCTCTGCTCAGACCGGTCCGGAAAGTCTCCCTAGGCAGACGGCTTGCCTCACACATGAACAATGGTCCAAGATTGACCAACTAATGCTTTAATGTGACCAGTTCTGCTGAGAAATAGCCGTTCTGTGTGGCATCCCTAACGTAGCCTACTATGTAGATGCTTTAATCTTTTCACAATTAGGATCTGACCATTTATTATTTATGACCTGAAAAAAATAATCAATTATTTGGAAGTGGAAGCCTCTTGTCTGGCGCAATTTGTTCGCCTCCTTGCTCAGATTGGTTCATGGTCTGAAACGAGCCCATGGTTTACTCTGGATCGGAACCCACAGTTTGGGCATCACCAAAGACAGTACAGTATGCCGTCACGTGGAGCCGGATGTGTGATACAATCTCGCTGTTAGGCCTACACGAAACAATTTTTTCGAATCATCTTTCAAACATTCAAGACAGCGATAGGCCCTATTAATCTATGGTTGACTGTAGCGTACAGAGGTAAGGCTGCAGTCTACAATGGGAGGAGAGAGCTTGCTTTTTCGGGGTTAGGCTCTCTGTATGTGCGTAGGGAGTGACGACAGCAGAGACACAGCCATTCTTTCTCGCCCATGTGGCCCAATAAAACCGCTCTTTTACCGTTTTATTTACGAGATCATAATCATTTTTTGATTAAAAAAATATGTTTAGGTTGCCAGCATTCAAGGTCTGAACAATATCCTACATATGGTTGTTTTCTTTGTTTGGCAACATTAGCTTAGACCCATCTATAGTAAAAGACTGAAGTAATACATCATGCTTAACTTCCTCGAACGGAAGGAAAAGGGGAAGCAACTCTCACATGGACCTATTAACCTATTTAAGGGTTCGAATACGTTTTATATAAAATGATTTCAATACAAAGGTACATTTATACATTTGTTTTATAACATTAACACATTCATAAGATGTTCCATCACTTACCCAGAAGTGAAAGCCTCTCGATCAGACCAGCATCTCTGATGGCTTTGGGTCCATCTTCCACCCCTCTCCTTTTCTAAAAGAAAAACGACAACGCTGAATAATTCTGGTAAACGAAATAGCCTAATCAAATAACCATATTAAACGAATGAATCCTAACAGGATATTATATTTTTCCTTACCTGTCCTTTTGAGAAGGGGGCTCCTAAAACAGCCACAGAATGAGGCCTGCTCTGACAGGTATTGTTAAGTTGAGTCCGCAGAAGACGACACAGTGGCCCTCTCAAAGCCATTTTAAAATCGTATTTAATTTATCTGTTAACGTCAAAATGATTGATAGCAACCGTTTAACGACCCAAGGCTGAGTATCAAAAGTGTGATTGAAAAGCTCTTCCGTTATAACCCCACTCTCTCTTGTGATGTTGATGCTGTGTTGAGAGCCGGCTCCGGGGGCTGTCTTATGCGCCCTTTCATTTCATTAATATTCATGAGGGGATGCCAACAGCGCGATCAACTGAAACGTGTAACCCTTAATTTGTCTCTAAGCACCACAACACCCGGCCGACTGATAAAAAAAATAATAAAAAAAATCAAATCAAAAGTTAAGTTAAAAAAACAAGATATTATTCAGGATTATTCAGAAATCCTCTTACCTCATTGAGGAAAACGTGCGTCAATACCGCATGCCACACCTTCGCACTAGCCAATGAGATGGGTCCAATAGATGGGTTTGTTCCGAAGGCGTGTATTGTGTTTCTGAAACGCACCCATGATACCGCAATTTCGCAGGGGCGGAAATTTCCACCGACACAGCAAACAGCGGTTGACAAACATGTTGCTTGACCTGGATGTCTGCTTTCCATAATCGTGCAAAACATATCAGATATCAGCCTGTTCCCCATGTTTGCATGCAGTGGAGAGTGACCGATTGACCATATACCTATTTGCTATTTCAATAAGCCTATTTTAGGGGGGCTAAGATAGGCTTAATGAAATAGCAAATAGGTATATTTTTTTATTATGGGTTATACAGTAAAAGTCAACCATTGTTTTAATTTGTGGAAATACAATAATTGAGATGAATTGTGTTGTTGTTATTGAAGAATATAGAAAGAAAGTTGCCCATGGGTACAGCTTCTCATCACCTAAATACAGTGGTTTGTGTCTGTTCTGTTGACCCTGTTTTGAAGCAAAAACACAAAAACAAAAACTGGTATGGAGCCAGGGGACCGTGCCATAATAAACAGGGGTATTTTGGTCCAGTATGTACCTCTGTCGCCCCCAGGGGACCGTGCCATAATAAACAGGGGTATTTTGGTCCAGTATGTACCTCTGTCGCCGCCAAGTGTCGAACAATTGTAAACCTCTTTTATTAAATGGCATATCCCATAATACATTGCAAAAAAAACACAGGTCCTCGTTAGCGGCATCACGTAGCTAGCAAGTTAGCTATTGAAGACCGATCAAATATTGTTCGTATAATAATTTAGACTGACTTATATGAAAACAGATATAATACGTTGATACAAGAGTACATTGTGTACACGCCGCCTGTTTTCAGGTACGTTAACACTCAACTATTTTAGAAAAAGTCCATAACGTTAGCTAGCTAGCTAACTTGCGTGGTAGCGGTGGTATCTATTAGCTAGCAGGAAATGTGAACTAGGAAACGCTTTTTCCATTGATTAGTTAGCCAGCAAGTATATAGAATTGAACCTTATAGGTGGGATGTTTTAAATGCATGGCTGTTTTAGGTTGTATAGGCTAACCAAATACCCAGGATAGTAGTAACCTAAGCTAGCTGGTATAGCTAGCCTAGCAAGTTTATCCCCGTAGGCCAGAATCTATCCATGGTGACCCCCCATGGAAGTCCCTGAACCTGGGCTAACCCTAACCCTGTCTCTTCTTGTTCCCCCAGGTCACTCCACCTCCCAAGATGTCGTACCCCCCTCACCTGAACCGCCTCCCCCAGTTGCCCCCCGGTATTCGTCCTCCCCAATTCGCAGGGTTCCCGCAGGGAGTCCCAGCAGGTGGGATAAAGTCGAGTAGAGAGCTGGTCAATATGGACAGAAATCCATATCGCGATAAATTGCCTGAATTTAAAGCGATAACGATAAATAGAACAATACGTTTATAACATTAATGTGGACCACAGTAAAAAATAAAATAAAAGGTCCTTTAAGCTACTACTAGTTTGATGGTTGTAGCCATCAATTGTCCCATTAACAATCACCCATATTAGCGAACGTATTTCATTTCAAACGTCAAATATCTCTAGTATAGGCTACTTACCGTAAAGAACCATAACAGCAAAATGCCTGCGATAAGTGATCGGTATGGTCAGTGTCGATCATTTTAGGTTTATCGTTCCGTCTCTAGTCTGAGTGATCAAACGTGATGTTATTAGAGACCTATGCTATCAGAACAAGTCCACTTATTGATATTCAGATCCACTGGTGTTGAGGGAAGAGTTTGAAGGTGCTAGATTGTGATGTCTGTCGGTCTTCTTCCAGGTACCCCCATGATTCCAGTCCACATGGGGATAATGACCTCTGCACCTACGGTAAGCCTAAACTGTTATTATTACACGCACACACACACACACAGTCTTGTACAGCTAACCTTGTGGGGACACACAATTCAGTCCCATTCAAAATGCTATTTTCCCTAACCCCTACTCTTACCCTAACCTTAACCCTAAACCTAACCCTAGCTCCTAACCCTAAACCTAACCCTAGCTCCTAACCCTAAAACTAACCCTAGCTCCTAACCCTAAATCTAATTCAAACACTAACACTAATTCTAACCTTAACCCTAAACCCCCTTAGAAATAGCATGTTACCTTGTGGGGACCAACAAAATGTCCCTGATTGGTCAAATGTTAGTTTGTTTACTATTTGGCCACGCTCAAGGTCCTAAACGATATTATAGCCGCGATCGATAAAAGACAGTAACCGCGCAGCCGTCTTCATCGACCTGGCCAAGGATTTCGACTCTGTCAACCACCGCATTCTTATTGTCAGACTAAATAGCCTTGGTTTCTCAAATGACTGCCTCGCCTGGTTCACCAACTACTTCTCAGATAGAGTTCAATGTGTCAAAATGGAGTGCCTGTTGTCTGGACCTCTGGCAGTCTCTATGGGGGTGCCACAGGGTTCAATTCTAGGGCCGACTCTATTCTCTGTGTATATCAATGATGTCGCTCTTGCTGCTGGTGACGCTCGGATCCACCTCTATGCGGACGACACCATTTTGTATACATCTGGCCCTTCATTAGACACTGTTAACAAACCTCCAAACGAGCTTCAATGCCATACAACACTCCTTCCGTAGCCTCCAACTGCTCTTAAACACTAGTAAAACTAAATGCATGCTCTTCAACCGAACGCTGCTGGCACCTGCCCACCCGACTAGAATCACTACTCTCGACGGGTCTGACCTAGAGTATGTGGACAACTACAAATACCTAAGTGTCTGGTTAGACTGTAAACTCTCCTTCCAGATTCACATTAACCATCTCCAATCCAAAGTTAGGTCTAGAATCGGCTTCCTATTTCGCAAAACAAAGCCTCCTTCACTCATGCTGCCAAACATGCCCTCGTAAAACGGACTATCCTACCGATCCTTGACTTCGGCGATGTCATTTACAAAATAGCCTCCAACACTCTACTCAGCAAATTGGATGTAGTCTATCACAGTGCCATCCGTTTTGTCACCAAAACCCCATATACTACTCATCATTGTGACCTGTACGCTCTTGTTGGCTGGCCCTCACTACATATTCGTCGCCAAACCCACTGGCTCCAGGTCATCTATAAATCACTGCTAGGCAAATCCCCGTCTTATCTTAGCTCACTGGTCACCATAGCAACACCCACCCGTAGTCTGCGCTCCAGCAGGTATATCTCACTTGTCATCCCCAAAGCCAACACCTCCTTTGGCCGCCATTCCTTCTAGTTCTCTGCTGCCAATGACTGGAACGAATTGCAAAAATCTCTGAAGCTGGAGACTCTTATCTCCCTCACTAACTTTAAGCATCAGTTGTCAGAGCAGCTTACCGATCACTGCACCTGTACACAGCCCATCTGTAATTAGCCCACCCAACTACCTCATCCCCATATTGTTATTTATTTTGCTAATTTGCACCCCAGTATCTCTATTTGCACATCATCTTCTGCACATCTATCATTCCAGTATTAATACGAAATTGTAACTATTTTGCACTATGGCCTATTTATTGCCTTACCTCCATACCTTACTACATTTGCACACACTGTATATATATTTTCTGTTGTATTTTTGACTTTATGTTTTGTTTTTCCCCATATGTAACTCTGTGTTGTTGTTTTTGTCGCAGTTGTAAATGAGAACTTGTTCTCAACTGGCTTACCTGGTTAAATAAAGGTTAAATAAATAAATATTTTGGGAACTTCTGGTCAAGAGTAGTTAAACACGTCCACACACACACACCCCTGAAGTAAAAGCTCATACCACTGGCTGGCAGACAACTCTATTTCCTAATGTGTGTATTGTATTGTGTTCTATTGCAGGTCCTGGTTCCTACCACAGTGTCTATGGTCCAGAAGCCTCCTGCTCCGAGGAAGGAGCTGAACCCAGTCAGCGCCAAGGAGAGCCAGGAGGGGGGCAGTGGAGGCCCCACCACTACAGTGTTCGTAGGGAACATCTCAGACAAGGCTTCTGACATGCTGATCAGACAGTTGCTAGCGGTAAGCCAGGGAATGGATGCTTTTGTCCAGCTGAACCAAGTCACACACAGGGGGTTAAAGTTCTCCTTCACTGCGACGGATTTCCGTCATATGGATTCTGGAGAGGTCCTTTTTTGAGATCAGTGTAGATCCACATGGAGATGGCATAGCCTAATACAGAAGTATGTCCGTTCTACGAAATACAGTGGGGAGAACAAGTATTTGATACACTGCCGATTTTGCAGGTTTTCCTACTTACAAAGCATGTAGAGGTCTGTAATTTTATCATAGGTACACTTCAACCGTGAGAGACGGAATCTAAAAATCAAAAATCCAGAAAATCACATTGTATGATTTTTAAGTAATTAAAGTATTTGATACATCAGAAAAGCAGAACTTAATATTTGGTACAGAAACCTTTGTTTGCAATTACAGAGATCATACGTTTCCTGTAGGTCTTGACCAGGTTTGCACACACTGCAGCAGGGATTTTGGCCCACTCCTCCATACCTTCTCCAGATCCTTCAGGTTTCGGGGCTGTCGCTGGACAATACGGACTTTCAGCTCCCTCCAAAGATTTTCTATTGGGTTCAGGTCTGGAGACTGGCTAGGCAACTCCAGGACCTTGAGATGCTTCTTACGGAGCCACTCCTTAGTTGCCCTGGCTGTGTGTTTCGGGTCGTTGTCATGCTGGAAGACCCAGCCACGACCCATCTTCAATGCTCTTACTGAGGGAAGGAGGTTGTTGGCCAAGATCTCGCGATACATGGCCCCATCCATCCTCCCCTCAATACGGTGCAGTCGTCCTGTCCCCTTTGCAGAAAAGCATCCCCAAAGAATGATGTTTCCACCTCCATGCTTCACCGTTGGGATGGTGTTCTTGG